AGGCGGCCAGCGCTGGCAGGGTCGCGGAAGTGTGTGAAAGCGTTCCCGTGACCCTGCGATATGCGCCTAAGTGTAACATCGTGGGGGTTTTAGTCGGTGCGAGTCCGACATAACCCGCTCTTACCCCCGCGAGGGCGGGTGTGCGTACGCATTTCCCCCATGTCAACAAAAAAAAAGGCGTCGGCCTATCCAAATTTTTTTAATATGTTTTTTTGAAAAGGTGTCGGTTCATATGCTAAGTGATATCCGCCGCCCATGAACAATTGCAACACCCGTAGGGTTGCAGATGTGCCACAATTTCTTTTTAATGTGATACAAACCGAGCCGGCGGTTCGCCTGATGCTAAGTGATATCCGCCGCCCATTTGCAACACCGTAGGGTTGCAGATGCGTGGCCACCTTAGTTCGGCTGAGGTCTATGAACAAAAGTTTGTTGCTATAATATGCAAGATATTTAAGATTACGGTTTTTACATGAACACTCATTAAATAGTATCTCGGCTGCAAATAACTAAACACTTCACTTACTCTACAATTGAAGTTTGGATTTTTGCAAACACAAATATGAAACAAAAATTTTCTCATAAAGTTGCTGTAACTACTATGTTTTTCCACAAAAGTACCGGTAATTAACGACAAAGGCATTCAGATAAAAGCGATGCCAATCTCACTTCACTAAGTGGCCATTTTATTTGTCTTATTTCCAAGGTAGATTTGCGCGTAAGCGTTGTATATACTTTTATTTCTGTATTGTTTTAGAACAGATAATGTTTTACAAATTTAAAGCTCTAAGTTAGCTAATAATGGATATGGCAGGTTAAGTGTATTACGCTGGAATTTTAAATTTAACTTAAACACTATAAAATCCATTTTTACACAAAGTTTTATTTCTGAATGATGATATTATGATGACCCAAACCCAACAAATGATGTTTTCAAGAGTATCGTTGTAATTACATCTATGCACTTTACATACGAATGTGATCGATAAAAAACAATTAATTTTCTAATCGCTGGCATTATACCATTGCCGTAACTAATAACGTTTTTAGCAAATTACTACTGGTTGGAAACAAAAAAACCGGATAAAGCACTTTCTTCAAACTTTAAATCAATCTATGAAGTATTTCCATAATATCCATAAGAATGGGATGATGTACGAAGCTGGCACGAGGCCTGCTTTTGAACGAGTATCGGGGCAACCCCCATGCCTCGGACATAATGTCGACCAGCGAAGGCTGGTCGGTGGTAAGGATGACCAACGGCCATCCCTAACTCTGACCGCGGTAGCGGCACTGGCGGGTGTACAGCGTTACACGCGGTGTGTAACGCGTGGACGACATCGTCTTCTCAGCGGCGGAAGTGCGGTCGGGTCCGGCTCCCCAGTGGCCTCCGACCGCAGTAGCTCTCGTGGGAGCGGGCGCCCGTCAGGACGGGCGTGGAGGGGTGCGATGTTCTGCAGGTGTGGGTGTGGCCCGTTGTCGGCCCTGTCGTACATGCGACGGGCCATCCGGACCACAAACTCCTCGATGGATTCTGTCCTCAGGTCTCGAGCTATTACGTCGATCCTGACCTAACGCCCAGCCCCCACAATCACTCGAATGGCGAGGTTCTGCTGCGCCTGGAGCCTGCGCCTTTGCGAGGCGGAGACCAGACCGTACCACGCCGGAGCGGCGTAGGTCAAGCGCGAACGGACGTACGTTTTGTAAACATTTAACTGTGGTAGGGCCACGCAGCAGCCTCAGCTGTTGCACGAATGGGCAGGCCCGTCCGGGTAAGTACCACGACCTCACAGAAGACCAGCGTAAAGTGGAAGTATGACAAATACTTTCGCGTTTCGTTTGGTGAGTGAGGTAGCCGGAGCCCAATTTTCAAAAGGTTGTAAACGCATCTGTAACCCTCGGGTGAGACAGATGTCCATGGGCGGTGGTATTCACTTAACATCAGGTAAACGGTCTGCTCGTTTGACAACTTTTCGCATAAAATAAAAAAAAAACGCCGATCTTGGTCTTAATAGGTAGCTTGGACGCCAGGATAGGGTACAGCATGGCTCGAGCTGCTCTGGCTTGTCGGACGTCGTGTCCGACCTGGGGAGCCATGCACAGCGAGCGGTCCATCCGGCATCCAAGGTACCTAATGGTGTTCGTGTTGGTAATCGCTTGACCTCGCAGCTCAAGCGTGGGTTGGTTTTTAATGCGGCGGATGTCTTGTCGACATTGACAGACATCCGCCATTTATCCACTTTCATCTACTATCACATTTATCCATTTAGCCACTCAGGCAGCAGGTCCAGTTGGCGCTGCATTTTCCTCGCCGCAATCGCCGCGACGTGAGAAGACGTGAAGAACGCACTGTCGTCCGCGTACAGTGCCAACAGTACGTCTTCATCCCAGTCGGAGGCGTTTTGCTCCAAGGTGGAAATGTCGTCCGTGTACACCGCATACAGGTGTGGCGACAGACAACTACCTTGTGGTACACCGGCTTTGATACAACGTACCCCCGAGTCGGCTCCCTCGACGTGTACGACAAACTTCCGGTCCCGGAGAAACGACGCTACTAACCGCACGAGCGCGCGGTGGGTGGTGGTATTCTCCAACAGCTTATGCAGTAGGCCCTCGTGCCACACTCTGTCGAAGGCCTTCTCCATGTCGAGAAGGACCCCCAGACAGATGCGGCCCCGGTTGTACTGGACCGCAAGATAGTGCAGCACTCGGGCCAGCTGCGCCGTGGTGGAGTGGCCGCTGCGGAAACCGAACTGTTCCCTGCGTAGCTCAATGCAGGGAACTATTCTCCGCAGCAGCAACCGTTCGAATAGTTTGGCTACGTGCGGCAGTAGCGTGATTGGTCGGTAGCTTCCCGGAAGTCGTCGGTCCTTGCCCGGTTTCGGCAGGACGATGATCTTGCCGGTTTTCCACTCAGAGGGGAAGTGCGCCGTGCGCAGTACACCATTGTACAGGCGGCACAGCGCCTCTAACCCCCTTTTCGGTAGTTGCCTTATCGCCAACGTTGTGATTCCGTCAGTGCCGGGTGCCTTGCGGAGCGCGAGATGACTCGCGGCTCTACGCACTTCGGCCGGAGTGATGAAAAGTCCACCATCCAGCCGTGGCACCGGCTCCGACAGGAACACCTGTACGTGCCGCTCCACTTCTTGGTGGAACGCAATGGCGCCTGGGGCCGATGTATTGGGCACGAATTGCCCTTCTAAGTGCTCTGCCAGAATGTCAGCCCTGTCTTGGGCTGCAACGTGCTTACGTCCGTCACTGCCCACGAGTGGACAGATGGGTTGTGGTGTTCGGCTGAGCTGCCGGTTAAGATGGTGAAGGGAGGTCTGCGACATAAGAATGTAGTAAATAACCTAACAGTATAAAAGTATTATATACTAGCTGCTGCCCGCGACTACGTCTGCGTAGTATAGGCTGAAGGTGTAATATTCAGACAAAAAGACATATATACATAAAAATATGTATAAAATTCTAGCCTTTGTTTTATTCTGATGTATAAGCTATATTATTGTAAAGTTTCATTAAAATCAATTCAGCAATATTTGCGTGAAAGAGTAACAAACATCCATCCATACATACAAACTTTTGCCTTTATAATATTAGTAAGGATTTTGAGACAATATATAATATAGAATTATAGTTGTTAAGGGGGAAAAGGTAGTATAAGACATACGTACACACTTTGAAAAAATAGACGTCGTTGAGTTTTGAAACATCTGTTTTGAAACATCTTAGTTGTAATATTTAATTAAAATCTGCTGCTATATGTACTTAATTAAATGCTTATCATACCGACACTGGAAAAATATCGGGTCAAAGTTTAACGAACACAGTTGGCTTTATGCCAGTTTGGTAACGACGTTACATAAATAGTACGCCTCTTGGAGCCTTTAAGCGCCATTTGGCAAGCAGACCAGAAAAATAGCGTAAGCTCAGATATACTTACGTCTCTATGTAGAACGACAAATAGCAACAGATTGCTTCATTTGCAGTTTATGTCTACGATTTAAAAAAAAATTGCATCTGTTAATAAACACAAAATCAAATCTATCGAAAAATTATAGTTTACGAAAATTATAATTTTAAATTTCCCCATTAAACTCCTTAGCTCTGATAAGAATAGTTATATATAAATTCTTATAATATATAAGTATTATTATTATACATATATATTTTATATATTAACTAACCACCAACCAATTTTAAAACCAATCGTTGAGAAAAAATGTTATTCTGATTTACATCCATAATTTTACGCTCCAATTGTGGAAAAGTGGAAAAATGCCAAGTTTTATGCAACGTTACACTAATTCTAGATTTCTTGTACAAAGTTTATGGTATCTTGGCACCATAAAACACTTCAGCAATAATTTAAGCTATGATATAACGACGGCACCAATATTGCACAATAGAGAATGACTATCTTAAACATTAAATCAACTATTCGCTGAGATAGAAAACGTGCAATGTTCGACGAACTCATTGGAAATTGGACTGATCGACAAACCGGCCTGAAAATGCAAATTGTTGATGCTATTGCCTAGGTATTATTTGTTCTTTGTGTACTATTACACTACGGTCTTCTCTAACTGAAAAACTGTAAATTGAAGATCAATAAGGATTTCGTATTCCAGATGCGTCACTACTTATCGAAAAGACATTCCCGTCGGAGATCACGGCGGATGGAATGCATACGAACTCTGAGGTAGTTGAAATTTTATGTAAATATGAAGAAAATTTTATGCTTTTTTTTAATATTTTCATATCATGTGGCCATAACACTACTTTTTGTACAGCAAAGTCAGTAAATGATGTTTAGTTAATGATAATAACCACGATATTAAAAGGACTGGAGCTCAGGTTATGATGCAACTACTATAAGGTAAGATAAATTAAATATCACGTTTAACATTCCAACATTTATTGACAGTTTTTTTTCGTACGAGCATTTTCGAAGGAAGCGGTCGGACACCATAAACCTTACAGCACAAGCAAAGTTATGTTTTGTCATTTTCTAGGGCCTCTGATGGCGAAATAGGCTTGGAGCCGAAGGGATACAAATCAATGCTTTGCACATGGGCCCTAACCGACACACCCGGTGGTATACCGAAATAACTCTGACCTATATTCTTAATTATTGTAGTTCTCGGCTTCGTTTGTTGAACATTGAATCCTACACCAAATTCTGGACTGTTTGTGTCATGTTTCTCATCTTCGAAATCTTTATCATGTTCGTCTCTATTATCTGACACCTGTGAAGGTTTTAGGGGCACATAAGGTTTCTTCGTCGGCCTAAAAGGCTTGCTTGTGGGACGCCATGGTTTGCCTGCAAGTTTTAACAATTACTAAGTTCTTTGTGCTGTGCTTTTACGTAGTGCTAGTGCTGTAAGGTGTTGGTGTAATAAAAACCAATTTGTCTGTGAATAACATTTATTGCAATCAAGCGGGTATTCATATAATATTTCCAGGTGTGCACACTTCAACCTTTTGTGCAGTTTGGATTGAAACTCGTGATCTTGTTTTCGTTTCGGGTTATATGTTCTTATTATTAGTTCTTCACAAATTTGTGAGATAATGATGCTTTTTAATTTTTTATATAAATCACAAAATAATTGTTAATTACATTATTCTATCGTGAGGTTTTTGCACTTTTTTTTTTTTTAATTTATCTATTAATTCTACTTCTTGATAACCCTAACTTATACACCGCACATAGAATCAACAAGATCACCAAAATCAATCAGTTGCCATCAGCTGTGCTATGCATTATCACCTGGTCCTTGTGTAGGCTGGGAGCCTCCGTAACTTGAAGCATCCTCGTCAACAAAACTCGAGTCTCCGCTCTCTGACTCCTGAGGGTACGTGGGACCTTGAGTAAAGTCACCCTGTCCTTTTTCTAAACTATTTGGCGGGCTAGACTCGATATCAAGTGTATTACTCGGTCTCTCTTTGTCACTCGTGGTGAATGGTGGTGGCTTTACATGACCTGACGCCGCCGAACCATCTGGGCCTGTAATAAAATTTATTAATTTCATTTTGTCTTACCGACGTTAAGTGAAACCTACACGAAAATGGTTTTGTGTGGTAACTTGTTCCATTTTTTTTTATTCAGGTCTAAGTGTGGTCCGTACTAGTAGACACACACCCCTTACCTTTAAATACATCTTCCCCAACGGTGTCATCCGGAGTGTAGCTCGCAACACTGGGTCCGATTGCACCATTCACAAAATCAGGATCGTATGCGCTCGGTATTGTAGGGAAGAAGGGCGGTATGAAAGGATCTTTACTGTTTTTAACGATGCGATATCCGATACCAGGGCCAGCAATGTAGTTCACTGTCCTGTATAGACAAAAAAATGATTTACATTTTAAAGAATATGTTGTATTTTAAAAACTTCTATGAGTACAGCTTTATTTAACGTTTTTGAGCTTATAAGCGGCTTGTCTCTATAAAATCTTAATAGGCCTTGTAGCCAAAGGCAATGAAATTATGCGTATTTCAAAACGAATTTTTAACTTTTACGATTAAATTTTAACTATACTTGCTTCGTCTATGTTTGTTTCATAACCATGAACCCTTAAAAAAATATATCCAAAAGGTCCAAAATTTTCATTTTATTACTGAAACACGGAAAAACCCAACCCAACATGAAGATATGGCCTCGTTATTAATCTGGATTACCTAATTTTTAGTATATTCGTAATTTGATTCCTTACCTTTGTACGCCTTTATCGTCCAAAAATGTGTAGGACCCTCTGACGTTGCCTTGTGAGTCACTACTCTCGGATCTCCGCTGATCAGGTCCCGCTGATATGAATCTGAGAAAATAAAAAATGTGCACTATACTTGTTATTTAGATAATCGCAAAAACTGTGGCAATTTAAAGCTCAAATTACGAATCTTTGTCATATTATCAACAAATATCTACTATAATTTAATCTGATTCTAACTTTATTAATAATACTTTTTTGTCTTTTGATCGATGTTTTCGCTGTTACTCATCTGGACTTTTTAAACCTTCGTCAATGTCAAGGCATTCATTTGATCAATAATGAAATAAAATTATTCCAAGGGCCAAATCTAATTCAATACATATAATACATTCAATGAAGCTTCTTATAAATTTTTCTTTTATTTCGCAGACAATTTAAAGTAGAAAATAAAGAACTAACAATACAGTTTTGTGAACACTATATGACACATACCATCATATGTGTAAATTTTCCTAAAAAGATAAAGCCTCCAATTTTCTTTATTGCTGGTTCTGGCAGCCTTCACTTTGAAAGCATTTCATATATTTCAAATATATTCTATTATTTATAATTGATTTATTCGAAAACTAGTTTCAGCGATTTGATAATTTACAACGTAACCTTTAATATAAAACCTTTATAATTAATTTTTCTATAGACTAATCCGTACCCTTCAGAGGGTCTGTAGACTAAGAATGGGCGTCAGTCATTCGAGTCAATAGGCATCTTTGAGAGTCATCGGTATGAGCATAGGAATCATGATTCTTAAGCAGTCATTACCTGTAAGATCCGTCTAACCCTCGTTGCACGGCCGTGCGACCTCTGGACTTGGTCTCACCACGCACAAGTGGTTGCCTGTGGAACGGGGAGCCTATCACACTGGGGCTGTCTGGGTGTGAGGAGGACACGTGGAATCCCGTGTCACGTCCAGCGACATAGGACACATCATGTCGCTCCCCGGCGTCGTCCACGAACGAGTAGTGTCCTGGAAGCAAACGTGACAAAATATTCTCACGACATAGAGTAGATAATCTTGAATTTTAGTCAAGAGATTAGACAGATTACTACATCTTGTAATAAATATCCTTTCGCCTGCCCTGTGTCCGGGCGCTCGTCTTTGATTCAATTTATTCGAGCAACATGATCATTAATCATACAAAAAATATTATCTTTGTTTATATATATATATATAATATTATCTATGTTATATATATATATATATATATATATATATATATATATATATATATATATATATATAATCGGAATCTCGGAACGGCTCCAGCGATTTTTATGAAATTTAGTTTATGCGTAGATTCGGGGGCGAAAAATCGATCTAGCTAGGTTTCATTTTTATAAAATGTCCTTTTATGCCTGTTCTGTAATCAAGCGGCCCCAAAACAGACGGCCGCGGTCGTATCACGATCATTTGCACTCTTATTTTTTTACGTTTTTTTTCTATACCAGATCATTGGTTTCTTTATTTTTGTAACTAAAATACATGATTTACCAAAAAAAAGGTCCTCCATGTACTTATTCACGAAATAATAACAAAAAAAATATTTTGAAAATATGTGACGTCGCGTGGTAGACTATGCCCTGACACCCTCTTTACTGAGGAGACTTTGCCCAGCTGTGGGACATTTACAGGCTTTTACTTTACTTTTTACTTATTACTGTGTCTTCAAGAATATTTAATATTTACTTTCCCTGTTTTATTATTTCACTAATGCTACTAATATTCCGTGCAGATCTTTTCTTCCGACGTATTTTATCTTCATAAGATTAAACTCATAATATCTTTATTCAAATAGACGCTTGCCCGTTCTTATGAAACGTCGAATACATCCCTTGCAGTACCAAGTGAAATACTAATTTCATTCGTCTTGTTTTGCCATAACATTAAAAATTATACTTTTCTCTATTTGAATCTGATAAAATCATATGGTAAAACAATTTTAAGTCTCTTACCACGAGTCGCTCAAACTTACACTGGACTGTCCATTCATTATTGAGATAATTGGGTCACAAACTTTTGAGCAAACTAGCTTTGAAAACTGAATTCCAAAAACGCAAACACATCAAGTAAAAAACTTGGGAACTGCCAACAAGGCAATTCATATTTTATTTTGTTCTACATTTTGTACATTTTTGGGGAATATATTTGTTTGCCCAGCAGTGGGACATGTATAGGCTGTTACTTAACTTAACTTTATGGAAGGTTCTGTATCCAAAGGTTAAAAAGGGATCCTATTACTAAGACTCTGCTCTTTGTCTGTCCGTCTGTTGGACTAGACAGTTGAAATATAACAGACATGATTTTTTTGCCTTTTTTATAAATAGTCGTACGAAACCGTTCGTATGCGAGTCCGACTCGCACTCGACCTGTTTTGAAGTATACGTACTATGTACGAATGTACGGTACTACCTATGACAATATTTTATAATCTTATTAGCTGACCCGGCAAACGTTGTTTTGCCATATGGTATGGTAGAAAAAAATGTTTGGAATGGACCACCCTTAACATTTAGGGGGATGAAAAATAGATGTTCAATTCTCCATCCTAGCCGTTATACACACAAAATTTCACGAAATTCGGTCGAGCCGTTTCGGAGTTCAATTACAAATACCGTGACACGAGAATTTTATATATTAGTTATTAAATATATAACATATATTATACGACATGATAATTTTACCTTCTTATAATAATTATTGGTGAAGACTGTTAGAATAATTCACTCAAGACATTCAGTTAATACTTAGAAATAAGCTTCTCAAGTTTAACTTGATAGGAAAACACCTGTTAATAATCGTAAATGTCTTCCAAATACAATACAAATACACCCTCCGTTTAATTTGCATAATAAATGAATACTATAGCGTACCTTTTACGTCGCCCCTACTATCGGCGTTCTCGTTTTTCGAATAGGTTCTCGTGTCGAATTTGTAAGAATAGCTCGGGTCTTCGTTGGGATCGAAGTAGGGGTCGTCCTTGTTCCCTATGGGACCGCGGGGTCGTTGGTCTAAGTCGATTTTTCGGTGCACGTTTGGACCCTTCGGACGGAACCTGGGGAAATTAGTTATATTCATAGGACTGTTTGGTTAAAACAATCAACGTGCATGGAAATGACTAAACAAAGTAATGATCAGTAAATAAACAAAAAGTCTAAATAAAGTGTTAAAAAGGCAACATAAAATGTGATTTTAAATAAAAATCTAAATAAAAAGACTTTATAACTTCTAAAATTCTTTTTAACGTGGTATTTAAAAAAAAGTTATTTATTCAAACTGGGAAACTAAACAAATCCATTACATTATTATAAAAACGCTATAACGGATTTTTACAGTTTTAGACTTGTTTTGTTTTTTTACATTATAATGTAATTTACAATTGAGAATATTTTCTCAAATATTCTCAATATAATTATCTAGTTTAATTTGTAATATTAATATATTAAAATGCAAAATAATTTAAACTATAGCCCGTCTTCTCGCAGCGCGTCGAAAATAAATGACTATGTTTAACCTCTGCCACAAATAAGCCAACTGCTTTTGCCAACGTTGCTGGCAATCAGTCACGGGCACAAATCCTTCGAGATCTTAGACCCGCGGGTCGCCATTTTATTTCGAACATTTTCAAGTGAAATTCACGTTCCACGATAAGAGATTTTCTTTATTAACACGTCGACTACTATTATGTACGAGTAATCACAACGTGAATACTCGAAAGTAATCGTAGTTAAAATGTGAATTTGCTCATTATATTACTTATTACATTCAATCAGATGCTTAAGAATAAAGCCAGTGAATTCATAATATATATTCATATACATATATATACATTCATAACATACTATTTTTGCGGACACATCATTGTAATACCATATCCTATATCATTCCCACAGCCGATACGAATCTGATAATACCTCAAAAGAAATCCGTCAATAATTTAAGCTGTATGTAGTTCGTGCCATACGCTCCAAAAACATTGTCCTCCTTTGGCAGTCGGGTAAAGATGCATCTTCGAAACTTCGAAATTGAAAACTCACCCTCTCGGCCCTGCGGTGTAAATGGTCTCTTTGACAGTGTCCGTAGCTGGATCTCTTGCGCCGAAACGGCCGCCCACCACACCGTTCTGGTTGCCCCTCGCCAAGTGGTAGCTGCCACCTCGGTCTTTGTTCGCGTAGCTGATTCCAAAAACCCGAATAAAGCACGCAATACAATATACATACTTCGCTACAATGTTTAAACAGATGGAAACTAAAAAAAACTGCTTGAAAGATATATTTCAGTGGAAAATAAATAATAATCATAATCATTTATTCCTCACCATAATCAACAAAATTAAAATAAATTATAAAATGCACTATGATCTTAAGATAAATTATAAAATACGATACAAAAACACATGAAATGATAATATCCAAAAAAGTGATCATGATTGTATTTAACATTTGAAAAACGATATAATTATTAAAATATCACAAGTAATAAGATAATTAAGTACATATCTCAATATGAGCGTCACATCTTGAAATTCGTAATATTGAAATAATAGCTTACCCAAAATCGAATGATCCATCAGTGTTCACGTTATTGAAGTCCCCATCGCTGGCCCGTGATTTGCTGGGTATCACCTGTGTCCTTACTAAACCACACAAACACACAAAGTACACACTGTGGACGGTCCAAGACATTTTGCACATTTATTGTTCAGTATGTTCTCATTTCACGTTGCACTGTACAGGTCAGTATAGAATATGACTATGGCGGTAAAAAAACAAAGGCCCGTTTATATATGGCGCCAAAAATGAGCGCCTGGCGGAGTTATACCGCGTGAAAACAGGCGGACGTCATTGTTATTAATGTTAGGGTCGCGGCACACCGAGAAGCTAATTATAGTTTAAGTGTAAACGCATGAACTCTTAGACAGGAAATTTTACAAAATTTAAAGTTACAATAAATGATTTCTATTCATCAGCTTATCAGTGAGCTAAAGTTTGAAAATTGTCACTCGAACATAAATTCTAAGAAATAAGGGCAAACTTACTACGCCATTGTTTCGTCTCCAAATGATGTGCGCATGTATAATAAAATCCCACAGTCGATATTAAGTCTGCCGCGCCAATGTGTGGAGTTAATACTGTTGATACTCACGTAGGCTAGAATAAGACTATACCTGTATGTTATATTGTAAACTGATATTTTTGAAAAAGAGCAACTTTTGATTTTCTTGCCTGTCTGTTCTGAACAGAAACTGCTTTCCGAACCGGTGTTACCTTACGAACCTATATGTATAATTTTTTATGTAAAAATTGACGATTCATAAGAACGCGCAAGCGTCTATTTGAATAAAGATATTTGAATCGATTTTATATCATTTCAACAATAGACAACGGTGGTAGGGCCACGCAGCAGCCTCGGCTGTTGCACGAATGGGCAGGCCCGTCCGGGTAAGTACCACGACCTCACAGAAGACCGGCGTAAAGTGGAAGTATGACAAATACTTTCGCGTTTCGTCTGGTGAGTGAGGTAGCCGGAGCCCAATTTTCAAAAGGTTGTCAACGCATCTGTAACCCTCGAGTGTAGCAGATGTCCATGGGCGGCGGTATTCACTTAACATCAGGTGAACCGTCTGCTCGTTTGACAACTTTTCGCATAAAAAAAAAAAAAAAAAAAGACAGTATTTCTATTCAAAAACCGGCCAAGTGCCAGTCTCGGGCACCGAAAACAAAAAGCGACCGAAGAAAAATGGAAAAAAAATCATGTCTGTTGTATGGGAGCCACACTTAAATATTTTTAATCGGTTTTTTTTTGTATTTTTCGTATAGCGGAAACAGAATATCATCTATGAAAACTTAAACTATCTAACTATCACGCTTCATGAGTTACAGCCTGGTGACAGACGGACAGACAGACAGACAGCGAAGTCTTAGTAACATATAATTCTATAATTCGACGCCCGAATGCTGCGTGGATAAACACACCGTCACTTTTATACTTTTACTAGAGACACGAAAAATATAAGCTAATACATACTCAAGATTAGATCTCATGGCGTTTCAAAATTACTAGTTTTGATGACTCCGTGACGTATTTGCCTAGCTTCGACTTCGGCTTCGGCTTTGGGGGTCGTGGCTTCGATTCCCACTCGGGACAATTATTTGTGTGACCCACAGATAATTGTTTTGGTTGTTTGTCCGCGTGAAATTTATGTTTGTAAAACGTCCTTACAACACAGGATAATGTTATCCTGTGTTGTAAGGGCAATGTTTAAAAAAAAAAAAAAAAACAAATAAGTAATTGACAACAAAGATAAACTTATGACACGAAAATATCCAAGAAACTTCACGCTAAAATACACTATTAAGTAAACTGCCTAAATCGCTGGGAAACTTTATAATAGCTACTGTTTTATAATAAAATCTTTAAGTGTGCACAGACCTACGCTTGCGAAGATGCGGCCGCCTAAGATACGAGGGCCGCCGTATCCTCCGTTCCGTCTCTACCAGGAACAAGTTTGCCGCAATGTAAATTTGCGCAGTTGTACTACGCTAATATTCTATTCTTGATGTGTATCAAGAGTTAAATATGAATGACAATGAACAAATAGTTCAACTAAGCAAAATAGTTATTATGTCATATCATCAATAGTGTGTATGGCACTGAACTCTTTCTAAACGGCTGGACCGATTTTAATGAAATTTTTTGTGTCTTCAGGTCGATTCGAGAATGGTTTAGATTTACAATTCGTTTTTTTTTATTTATAAGTTGTCGGATTTAAGTCGCATGTACAGGACAACGTCTGTAGGGTGCGATTGTATATATTTTAATTTCTTATATTTACTCAAAAGTAAATATTATCAAATGAAAGAACTCAGTGTCAGTACCGCTCGCATTTAATTTTATTTACTCAAGCAATTTGAGTTCAAATCCCGTTGCTGTTTTAGGTTTTGACTAATCACGTATTCATCGGTGAACGAAAATTTCGAAATATAATAAAAATCAAACATATATGAAGTCCACAGCGTTGTGGCGTGGTTGACAATACCCTAAAAGCCTTTTTACAGAGGAAGCCTATGCTTAGCAGTGGGATGCATATAGGCTGGTACTTTACTTTTCAAATACTTTGCAGCATTTATGGTCTGTCTTTTGTAAAAAAATTAAGTTTAAAAAATCGCAATATCCGTAAAAACAGTTCCAAATTACTCTATATTAACTCCTATTTTATTTGCATAGAAAATGTAATAAAATTAAATGAACATCCTTACTCCGTATTGTTTACTTGTGTCACAAAAATATACAAAATTGTCAAAAAGTTTTTTTGCTATTTTTTGTTGTTTCACGAACTTATTTAAACGTTTCAAAAGTTTTCAAGTGGAAGGACTGAAGGAAATTAAAACAAATATGTCGCGGAAACGCTTGCCACATGTTCTCTAAAAACGCTTAGCGTAATAAATTCCATTCTCGTATTCGCAAACTCCAAAGTTTTTTCATTTTCAATGCTTTTTTGCGACTTTTGCGGTGTGTTAAAAATTCAACTAATGTTAATGAAAAGTCTCTTTTTGAACGAGGAATAGAAAATAGGCCTCTTTGTCAAATGTTTCAGTTCTACACCCATGGATTGCAATGTATTAAATTGCAATGGAGAATGTCATCATCATCATTTCAGCCTGTTTGAGTACACTGCTGAATATAGGCCTACCCCATAGACTTAGACTCTGCCACAAAGACGAGCCACCTGCATCCATCGTCTCCCCGCACACTTGCACAGTTCTACACTGCGATGGCCAGTACGAGGCTGCCACTCGAGAACCTTCCTTCCCCAACGATTATCGGTTCTACGAGCTATACCCAACGCCACTTCAGCTTGCTAATCCTCTGAGCTATGCTAGTTACCTTGGTTCTACTGCGGATGTCTTCGTTATGAAGTCTATCACGTTATGGAAAATGTTATCTTTATATGTTCTTTTTAATGAATATAAATTTTCTTTATATGTTTAATATGTTCTCTTAGTTTGTTATGGAGAATTTATCTGGAAATAATTCCACGGGGTAGTCGGTATCGACTATAAACTTAACTAAAATGAAACTGTGGTAGGGCCACGAAACAGTCTTGGCTATTAACCTAACGGGCAATACCGTCCGGGTAAGAACCACGATCTCATATAGGACTCGCGTGAAATGGAAGTGTTATATATGATTAACTTCTGCGTTTGGTCTGATGAGTGAAGTAGCAGGAGCCCTTATTTATTCAGTTCCTTTATTATTCAGTTGCAATGCATTTGGAAACCCACGGGTGTTGTTAATGTCTATGGCGGTGGTTATCACTTAACATCAGGTGAACCGGCGCTTTTCACATTCTCACATAAAAAACAATCCACTGCGTCAAGCTGGTTTTGCTTATTATGTTTTGTTATCAAAGGTGATTGCTTAGCACTACAGAGGAAATAAGAAATCTTTACTGGTACTAGATAGGCCCTACGGATCACGGTGGAATCAAAGAGGTCTAAATGAGCTCAAAGATTGCTCTATAAGTAGTTTAATAAGCTTGGTGAAAACTTGATAGCACTCTCTATTTACCCTATGGAGAATTAAGCACGTTAAAGCTTGTTTTATTTTATGCAATTGTGTATAAATAAAATATTTATTATCGGTTTTTAAGTTACGTGTAATCCAGTTATTTTCGGTTCGTGTTTTTGGAACAGTTCGTAGTACGAAAATGCATGGCAAATTGTATACGTAGACTTGACGTCGTTTTAAATTAGGAATCTAGAAATGACTTTGCATTTACGAGTATAGTTAATAGACAGAAAAATAAAGACATATATGAAGAATATTTACGTTGATTTGTTTAGATTTTGACTTCTAGTTTCAATCAAACAGGCACCAATAATCACAGACATTAGTGAAATATTATTACAAACAGCCTATTTATTGCACGACCCACTATTGTGCAAAGGAACACAGGCTGAATGATGAAGTCATACTCGACTCCACTTTGTACTTACATTACATATCTTCGAAATATATTTTAGCTTGTTTGTTAGATTTGCTGGCTGGCTGAAAACTTACATGTATAAAAATAAATTAATTAGGTAGCCAAAGAGCCCATCTATTATCAGCTCCATTATTTGTGCGTCCGGCGTTTGTTTCACTTCCTCGTCTGCTACTGCTCGGTGAGCCTTGAAGATGTTGCACAATGCTGTAATAAATGTCTAATTGTGATGAGAGATTTTCAAGCCGCATTTCCACTATACGACGATATTACATTATTCGCTTCCAATTAAAGTAATTGGTAAATCAAATTTTTAGGACCTTAATTAATAATTTTATTTTCGGTAGCTGTAAGTCAACAAACATAAAGACATCTTATGTTCTTGAAATTATTTCAATAAAAAAGAAAGAAACATTAACTATTAAATAATTTACTTATTTAATAGTTAATGTTTCTTTCTTTTTTTTTTAGTATACATTAGATATCTCTTTTTATTGTATTTCAGATTTTTTTGTTCGGAATTGCTTGTCTTTATATTAATTATCGAGTCTAGCTACTATACTAACTACATAAACGTCGCAAGACTATAACTTATATACTACTATATTTCAGTTTTATACAATTTTTAGTATCTTTGTAGATTGAAATGGAAATAGATCGACGTATGCCCGTTCCGGTGTGATCATCATGGATTATAGTGTCGAATTGAACTCACTGAGTTGTGAAACTTTTTATGGATGGCCCCTCAGACTCCGGTGAACTCTAGTACCGTGTACGCAGAGTACGTGCCAAGTTACACTGGCCGCTTTCGTACTATTTCCATATGTCCTTCTATCCGGACCATTGTATTCTAACGATACTACTTCGTCCGCCTTAAAGATGTGGTGGTATGGAGTTCTCGTTGAAGAGTGCTAACTTGCAGCTAAATATTTTTGATCCTCTGCTCGATTGCCCAATATGTAACGCCATTTCGGGGTTTCGCCATGACTTAGAAAATCTTGTTTACCATCTAAATGTTAGTTGTCATAAAATTCGTTTATGTTTTACATTTAAAAAACTTCATTGACACATGGTAAAATTATTTAAAAGAAAAAAATCCTTATTAAATTGTTAAGGTTAGGACGTCTCCAGCTCGAACTGATGAACTAAGACATCATACATTTGAAGCAAGGTAAGTAGCTACAATATATGTGTACCTCTATTTTATACTAATTAAACACAAATTTCCTTAAAATGAAGACAAATAAATTAGTTACTTCATATATAATTTCTGCCTCAAGTTATTCGCAAAGCAGTCATTTCAACAAATTTGATGAGGTTCATAGGTTGATAGTTGGATACATATTGAATAATGGGCTTGAATTTCCAAAATGAGTATCTTGGAAGGGTGTTGCTTTATCGATCTACAAAGAAATATGGCAGGTAAAAGAAGAATGACTGGCCGCAGTGCCTACAAGATAAATGAAAGTTGTTTCATAGACTTACTTTTGTACGGTCGGAAAATAACTATATAATTTTTTTTTATCAAAATATGTCAATTTAATATACTTTTCTCGTTATATGGCTTCGTCTCTATTTTATATTTTATTTCCAGTTACGATGGGTTGATGTATTTTATGAAAAACTAGATTTCCAACGAACTAGTTGAAGAGAGAAATAAATTTCTTTCCCAAAAGTCTACAACATAAAAGATATCTAGTAGCTTGTGTTATAGGTGGCGGGATAGACATCTCGACTTTTCAGACCCCAAATACTCAGGTTAATAACTGTGAGCTATCTGGAAAAACTGCTGTTGCCAAACAGCTCAACAATATCAAAATAAACCTTATGTCTATGAGGTACGCCTATAGCTCAGAAGGCCACTTCTATATATATCCAGAAGTAGACTAACACTGAATGCTCTATTTTATTAAATTTTGATGTAATAATAAACTTAAATTTACGTTGTGAATAAACGTATTCTTGGGCGGCTTGGTACTTTTAGTTTCATTGTCTTTGTACAATTTTTAGATTAATTAAAGTTAATAACGACCATAAGCATGTAAATGAGGCTTAATAAAGAAAGTTTATTCAAAAAAGTTAATAATGTTATGAATTTGTTATAGTTGGGGTAACCAACATTTATGACAATCTCCTTCCATTTTAAATATCAAGACATGTGGGTAATATTTTTAAATTTTATACATTACAAAGTAAACTACGCATACATCTGTTAAACCTTGAGGAAGCCTATCCATATAAAAGACAAGTCGTCACTGAGTCGACTAAGCTTCAAATAAAAAGAAAGTAAAGCCTTTATCTTCAACCGTTCTTTGTTACTAAATACGAGTACATAGTAAACAATAAAATCAAAATGTTCCTGAAAGCTTCTTTAAAACAAGACGAGTGAAGACATCTTGAGTGCGTTAGTGGCGACGTGTACATCGAAGGAGTGCCAATGCCTGAGGAGGTAGAGGTCGAAGGGGGGACAATGGAGCCCCCGAAGGGCATCTGGCATCTTCACGGTGGTTGCGCGTCCGGTGCGCGGTTGACCCGCGTGGTCCTCAATAGACAGGGCTGTCGAATCTAACACAAGTGCTATGTGGACCTCTATACAGCCGTGGGGCTTATTTTTGGAACTTACTTTACTTAGTTGGAACTTCAAAAGCACGTTACAATAGGTAAACATTTATTATTAAAAATTCCGAAATATTGTATCAGTTATTCAGCATTGTCTGCGTAGTGATTTTCTTATTGTATTCTTGTGGGTAAAAAGTGTCTTATGATATTATATTTGATAATACCATTAGACACTTACACTTACACATACATGAGACAAAAAATCTCTGTTAGAAACTCAATCAAATTCCCGTTCACTTTCGAGTATTGTAGCTCAACGAGAGAAGATGGACAAAATTTTGTATTTAAAAACTGTGTTTTTTTTCTTTTGATTTAGTCAAATCTTGATTAAAAGTGTGTGCACATCCCTGCCAATGATAACAACCGATAAACAACTGATAGGGCCCTCTGATAACAACCGATAAAGCAACTGATAAAAACCCATAAAGGACCCACAATCGTGTGCCTGCACAATAAAAAAGGAATAAGTTCCATTTTCTTCGGAATTATATTGCCAACCGTACCTTTACTTGCTAGGCCTCTATCTGACAGATCACAAGATAGAATGATTTATATCAAACGTCCATTAAGGAATGAAAATATTAACCATCAAACATATCTATAAATTCACCGAGATTGTGTAACTGTTGAAATATTAAAAATGTAAGATGTCCATCTCGTCAATGAAATTACGATCGATATATCAAATTGGAAATAAAATATGATAAAATATTGAAAAAGTAAATTTAATCACGTATTCCACTTTGAAGATTGTTAATAACAAATTAAAATAGACATTGACACCCCTATATATTGGTCGGTTTTTGTAAATACATAGTTACATCTTGTTAGCAAGTCAATATCGGGCCTTCAGTAGAATGGTCTAAAGACTGGGGTTGAGTACCATTGTTTTTTTGTATGTTATGTACGGGTATTCATATTAGAACGGACTTTTATAAATATACCCTTCGAATTGAACCATAAGTTCAGTAAAAGTCAAAAATGCTCTGAGAAAAAAGACTTTATTTAGTGATTTGTTAGTTTGTGTTAGTTCCTTGTGTGTGTGTGTGTGTGTGTGTGTGTGTGTGTGTGTGTGTGTGTGTGTGTGTGTGTGTGTGTGTGTGTGTGTGTGTGTGTGTGTGTGTGTGCGTGCGTGCGTGCGTGCGTGCGTGCGTGCGTGCGTGCGTGCGTGCTGCGTGCGTGCGTGCGTGCGTGCGTGCGTGCGTGCGTGCGTGCGTGCGTGTGTGTGTGTGTGTGTGTGTGTTAGGGTAAATTGTATCTAACACACACACAAGTAAGGAAGTACTGACTAGAGGTCTCTATCTGCACGAAATTTTACACAACAGTGACCTTAAAAAAATTTAAAAATGTGACTAAGATCTTTGGAATTGTAGTACCCACTGGAATGAGATATCGACGTAACGAGAAGATATGTCGAAGCTCTAAATTTTAAAGGACATTGTATTAAACAAAGTAAAGGGACAGTAAAAACCCGCCAATAGGAACTTATAGCTGACGTAAAACATAAAAGTCCAAATGAGTCTGCAGTTTGTAAGCACACTTTAAATCGTCCCAGCCCGTATAAGGTTTGATAGATCACAGATCTTTGCAAAACACCGATTCGTTCTAAATGTGATCAAAAACAAAAATAGTTTACTGTTTCTTTGTAATTGCATAATAACCAAAGATAGAATTTGGGATATAGATAAATATCAATAAATGAAAAAGGTGTTTGCAATGATAAAAATCAGAAGAAAAAAAAAAGAACAGACGTATATCAAGAATGTTTTACGTAAATGTTATAGTTGAAATCGAATTATTCATTATTTATCAAAAAAAACAAAAATTCTATGGGAGCTACATGAGCTACAATAAATTTATACAAATTGTTGCATGTATTGACATGTTAGTGTCCTAATCCTACTGGAATCGGCTTTATTTTGAAAAACCGCTGACCTGGGAGAGACATTAAATCAATCCACTGGCTCGCCAACGTCGTCTTGTTAGTAAAAACTGCTGTAATTAAAGTGCTTAAGCCGAGGCGGGCTTATCGTGTATTTCACGCTACACAATTGAATTTAGTAGGTATACGCAAACGGATCCTCTAGAGGTCGTGGGACACACGGACGCGGTTCGACAATAGCAGATAGCAATCGTCAATTTTGTTCGCGCTTTGTGTCTTGTGCTTTATGAGTAGGAAGCGTGTTGCGCTTGTAATTTCAAACACGCCTCGGGAGCCCGGCTCGTAATTTATAATTGCAGCTATTGCTGAACTCGACGCTACTACTGTATTAAAATTAGCGGAACGAGCCTCATAACAAAGTTGTTATGTTTTACAGTGCACGAATATTTAGAAAACGTTAATATTGGTAGGTTACTAAAATGGTTAGTAATAAATTAACTACGTTTCAAATTTAGCTTATTGCGATTTACGATAAAGATACGTATTCTTTTTCTAGCTTAATACAATAGTAAATCTAATATCAGATCTGATATTTTCTTATTATATAATGTTTATTTTTACTCAGCGGGCTATGGAGCGGACTATTTTTCTGCATGATAGCGTTCGCAACGAAGACATCCGCAGTAGAACAAAGGAAACCGACATAGCTTAGAGTAAGCTGAAGTGGCGATGGGCCGGCCATATAGCTCGTAGAACCTATAACCGCTGGGGAAGAAAGGTTCTTGAGTGGCAGCCTCGAACTGGTCACCGCAGTATGGGACGACCCCCCACTAGATGGAGTGACGACCTGTACAAGTGTGCGGGAAGTCGATGGATGCAGATGGCTCAGGATCTCGCCTCGTGGCAGTCTGTGGGGGAGGCCTATATTCAGCAGTGGGTTCAAACAGGCTGAAATTATGATGATTATGTTATTAAGGTAAGCCTTTCAGATCTTTTAAAGAACTGATCATTCAGATTAAGATATATTAAATTTACATGAAGTTTTCAACAAGCTTACACATTTCAGGGCATTGAACGGTTTTGTGTTTTACCCTCTTGCATTTGTCCCTCCTAGATGGGCAGCGCAATATGTGAATCATGTAGACAGCTAGGTATTGTATTACCGGACACCTGTCCTGAGGTCACCCCTTTTTGTGAATAAACACCCAGATCCGGAACAGTTATCTGTGGGTCAAACCAATGCTTGTCCTAAAGCGAACCTTGACCCTCATCGCCGGAGCCAAAAGCTCAGCAGTATCAGTTTTATTAAAAAAAAATCCGGTATACTTAGGCAAATAATTATGACAAAGAGATTAAAACGTAATTTTTTTGTTGTGTGTCTACAATAATAATGTTGAAATATTTTCGGCAATACGAATTCACTTAAAAATTGACATTTGAGTTTCATCTTTAGTGCAGGGACTTGCACTAAGAATGAACTTCCCAAGGATAAAAGAAATTTGAATTTCCTGCCACCCAATCAAAAATCTGCCACAGGTCCACAGTTGGGACAATTTCACCAAGTCCGTGACGGTTCTTTAAGGTAAATAACAAGATTTTTTTTAACCGACTGATATTAAATTGAGTGCACTTTGCAACAAATTTCTCTCTTCGGTTTCATCATTTAAGCATAAAGTGAATATTTTTGTAGTCATGTATATAAAGTAGAACGGCCTCCAGTATGCTTTTGAAAAGCGTGACGTCATATATGCGATAATTTCATTAATATAAAAGTTTAAGATAGATCAAATATAAAAATGTAAAGTTAGTTAATGTGTTATTTGCTTATATACAGGTCAAGAAATCAAAAACAATTAAAGGTATGTTTAATTAGTATAACAGGCAATTTATCAATGATAAATTGTAACAAATACATTAAGGAAATTCGTATGATGTGTTCACGTGTACATAAACTGCACTGTCAATTTTAACAAATGGAAATAATATTTAATAAACATCATAAGAATAGATTGGTATGTATATGGTATTGGCTTACATTTATGGTAAATTATTATGATTCAAAGATACAACATTGACCATGACGTTAAAATCGGGAAATGAAAAGCGTGGGAAGAAGTCATTACGAATATTATGGGTAAGCCCCGCGAATAAATTAGATATGTGATAACATTGTCGGCTACATATAATTAACGTATTTTTTTTTTAGTTTACTGAACTGAATAGACATTGGCTACTCGTTAATAAACTTGGAAGGAAAACGAAAATAGAGAAGAACGTAATTGCCAAATAAAATAAATTTAAAATTCTACATGAAATTTCAAGTTGAGACGTTCATTTTAAATAAATAATAAATCACACATAGCATTAGTTCTCGTGCGTTTGAGTTTTGAGTGTAACATTGTAAATGCAATTATTGTTTAGTTCGTCGACCTCTGATTTTTATACGGACTCATTTTGATCAGTTTGTACGACCTCTACTATCACACCGAACACGGAGAATCTCGTAAAATGAGTTGCTTTAAAACGCTTTAAAATTGATAAAATTTCGTATAATTTTCAGGTCTGGTTTGATAAAATATAACCTATTAATTGACACCTTAATTTCTATTCTTGACTTCCCTCTTTATAAAACCTTGGTCCAAGATTGTATGACAGTGTAACCGTCTCCTTTATTAACGACTATAATTTTGCAATTATTATATTACACCTAAGGATTTAGATACGATAGAGTTTTTGTGCAGCGCCCAAAGACCTCGCGGCAGATAAATCACAATATTTTCTTATAATTTATTATGCAATGAAGATGGTAAAGGGGCTAGCGGTTCACATGATGTTAATGATAATAGCCGCCCATGGACATTTGCAGCACCCGTAAGGTGGTTGTGGCAGATCCTTTAATGGATTGGCCCTCGGCTACTTAAGTCACCAGACGAAACTTGTCTTATGTGAGGTCGTGCTGTTTACTCAAACAGATTTGCCTATTCCTGCAACAGCGTAGATTGTTGCTTGGCCCTAACACAGAAAAATATGACTGCTATTGTGGGATAAGATAATCCAGTGTCGCAAACATTAATTATACAGGAACAAAGATCCGGATCAATTAAAAAGTAATATCCTTCTCGGCCAGCATATGTCGAAGGCCTTCAGAATGGCATTGTACCAAATCCGTCCTAGCAAGATGTAGTATGGTAGTCGATGAGACTGTTCTTGTTTTGGTCTTGCCTAGCCTAATCTAACTGGAGTTTCAACAACACATGAAATATCGTTATTTTATGACATTACTGTCAATTTAAATATAAGACAAGTGATGTGTGCCATGGAAGGATTTTGAAGGGCATCAACTAACATCAACCTTACATATATGCCATAAAAAGTTTATTTAATAATATAATAGTACCGACACAATCAATCATCTTGCTATAAATATTTTGTAGGTGCTTGAACAGAGACCCCCTTCCGGATTTGACCCACCTTCACTGATTGAAGTTAACATCTACTTACAACATAAAAACAACTTTAAAATAAAAAATAAGGTACCTTTTTAAAAAAAAACATTTTGTCGTGGATCGAATTGTGAATTTATTATACCATTCTCAAAACCACTTGAACACAGACAAAAAATTTCATTTAAATCGGTCCAGCACAATCCACCAGTCCAAATGTATCTACAAAATACAACTTTAGTCTTTACGTGGGTTTTCTGTGGCACCGTGGTGGATTAGTACGTTGTTGCTACGTGGATCTAACACAGATTAAAATTATTTCAGATTCGTGGAATAATAAATATAATTGATAAAGCGTACTATTTTTTTTTTGTGAAATAATGATATTTTTTTAATTTAACGCCTGTAAAAATCCAAAAGCAATTTTTCACTTATGGATACTTGCAGTTGTATCATATTTACCATACATAATTAAAAAAAAAATAATTTATTTAAAAAAAGTATGTGTGCACTTATGTACGCACGTTAGAAGTTTTACTTCTTTAGCGTAACAAAGGAAAAATAAATATTTTTTTCCCCTTGTACACTTTGTTGATAACGGTTTAGGTAAATAAATACCTTGGAATTTTAGGTATCTAAAAGTCAATAAGTCGTTATTGGTTTCCATGGTAATACTGTGAAATTGAAAAAGTTGGTTGCAATCAACTTCATAATGTTGGTATCGATGTGCGCGCGCATCGTAAATATCTTGTCAAAAATCGTAAAAATTTTTACGATCTCAATTTTTTTCAAACGTGCCAAAAGAAGTATATCTTCAAAAATCATATTAATTTTCGGAGACTCATGAAATTCAACAACAAACTAGAAATATAATTTTGGTGTCATTTTAAGAGTTTCTTTTGTTGAGGAAACAATTACTTTGCGCATATTTGGATTAACTTTACAAACATAGGTTAGACATATTTATCCATAAAAAGTTACCACACCATCTTAATATCACTTAATATGTTTTCTGAAAGTGAAATATTTTAGTGCATTAAGTTACCACCCACGTCGTTGATGGATCGAGTCAATTACCTAATGGCGACGAAGCAGAGTCAGAAACAAGGGATATGAACGATTATTTATACCTAGAAGTTTAGAAAGACGTAGGTGTTCATTGAATGATAAATAACGTTAATCGTTCCTAGACGATTAATCAAAACTGATATATTTTGCCTACATAAAGTGTTTTCAATCAATATAATTCCAACTACCCACAAAATTTCGCATGATATACGCATAAAAATCTTCTAGTTAGCGGGCTTAGTGGTTTGGTTGGTGATTTAAAAAAAAGTGACATCTGAAATGCCTACGTGAAATTAATGACCACTCTACACACTGGTTCGAATAAGTGTCTGTGTATTAGATTTTTATGCAGGTATCGAACTAAGAATATATATATATATTTTAATTTATTAGAAAAGAGCTTTGTTGATGACCGATAACATGTCCCAGTAAGGTTAACAAAATTCATATAATACTTACAATAATATAATATAAACAGTATTGCTTAACATCTATTACAAAATAAAGTTTTTCTTACAAAACTAAGTTCTTCAATGCAGACCAGTATCAGATTCTGATCGGATATCGAAAAAGCCAGGATACTGGTCACAATGCCAACATTACAATTTCGGGAACCCATAACAGACATTCTGAGATCTTCGTCAGTACATGAAATACGTCTTCAACGACACCGCATTCGTTATTTTCATTAAAAATTTTAACTTCGACTTTTCTTTTAAATTCGACGGAATATGTCCAGAACGTTATCTAAGTAACATTTGTAGAATAACTAAGAATGTTAATATTGACAGCAGATGTGATGTAGCAATGACCGCGTTTACGCTATTGAACCAACGCACGGCTAGACTACTTTCGCTTTGTAATAAGTGTTGTTATGCTCAGTTCCTAAGGAACTGGTCATTACTGGCAGAACGCATTGATTGAAGACATTAGTCTTCAAACATTGAGGGATATTCGACGAGAAAATATGCCGAAATATTCCAAACGCTGCCCATCTGAGTAGGATTCAGCGATTGTTCGAAGTTGGACTTACCTAACTGGATTAACTGTCCTAAGTGAACAATCTCGTCAACAACGTCGAGCACAGTGATTCCAACAATAACCGGTAGAGGCGTAACATGGACGTTAGAAATGGTCTTGTCTATGTAGTCAAGATCATTTCTAACGTCCAGACACACACTGTAATGTTAGCCGCGTATTGGCATTATCACAGTGTAGGACACCCCCACTAGATCGTACCGACCTGCACAAGTCTACAGGTAGTCGATAGATGCGGTTGTGCTTCATGGCAGACAAAAATTAAAATCAAAAATCAAAAACATTTATTCGTCGACATAAGAAACTTACATTTCATCTATCGATAGTCGTTTATTTTTTTAAATCTACCACCGTTTCGTAATGAGGTTCCTCTAGAGCGGAGAAGAAACGGGCGAAAGAAACTCCGTAGGCATCCTCTTTTTTGTGGCCTATATTCAGCTATCATATGCAAAACCGAAGGCAAGTTTCGACGAGCTTGAAACACTTGATTGTGTTATTCGATGATTGGGACGGCTTTTTGCAGAAAGATAGCCGTCGAGGCATCGATGCTTCGAAGCAGGCCCTCAAATAGCGAATTCTTAATTTAAATCAACTAGCCATATATAGAAAGTGGCGGTTGCAGCTTGCTTAAATATGAATTTATCAATTTATGATCTGCGTTGTTATTCTATACTCATGTTAAGTTATTTTTTGTATTATGAAACATTAGAGAAGGACACATTGATTAATTAAAGAAAAAAAAAAGACAGGTTTAGTTTATTTACAATTTTTATTAACATTTCTAAGTACTATATTAATCTATCAGTTCGTTATAAAGCTCTGAATATTCGTACCAATGAGGAATTAATTATATTTCCCCATAGGCTTAACAAAATATTTCGACTATCGTACATTAAATTCCTCATTTATTTATAGTGTTACTGTACTCTTTCCAAAAGATTAAATTGTTATTAATTCTAAGCCTTAATTAATTATTACTGAGCATCACAATTTACTAATCGTTTAGTGTCGCAATATACAAAGCTACGTTTTTTGACTCGAAACTAAGTACCAGTGGTAGAAATCTTTTCGTTTTTTATCGCTATGGTAACTTAAGATTTAGGATTGTCAAGACTACAGAAGATTAATAATTATGTTGTTATCAAAAATATTTTTGTTACATGTTTAAAAAAAAGACAATTTCGATTTAAATTCGAATAGGAGTTAGTTTTTACAGCAAAATATATTGTTTTTGGTATCGCAATCCTTTTGAAGGTTTTTAAAAGATTATATTTCAAAGCAATGTATAACGTGTCACATTGTTAATGGTTTCAAAAACATTGTCATTAGGTAAAAAAATGTGAGAATGTCTTTATGTAAAGAAATATTTTTAACAGTAAATTAAATGTAACGCGTTCCCGCTGCTATGAATTCAACATACTAAAGTGTGGTCCGAATTGAACACAGTTTAGCGAAACTACACAAATTTGATAAATGCTGATATTCAGTTTGATAGAGCGTTTGAGGACCACACATGAATATTACATAAACTCGAATGTGCCAGATTGAAAATTGAAATGGAACTAAATTGAAATTATTGCCACATATCGAAACTTCTGGCAATAGTTAATAGGGAATAGTTGAAGGGTTATCGCAGTTTTAAAATAATATATCTGATGATAGATGAATAAGGTATCAAATTTAAAAGTATTTAAACAAGTGAAAAGAAGGAAATTGGCGGTAGACAAAAAAAGATTGAATTAACAAATTTACAGTAATAATAAAATAATAAGACATTAAAGTTTCTGTAGAAAAAAGGAGAGAAAAGTTCCTCGCCGCTGTGGGAATCGAACCCACGTCTTCGGGGATCGCGCCGACGGAAAGACAGAAACTTTCGTTCTTTTTTTCTACAGACATTTTAATGTTTAATCTTAAGTGAGATTAGGACTATAAAAATTAAAGAAATCAATTAGACGTTAGATAGTTTGATTGACTCGTACTTCGATTGAAGTTATAAAATAAAAAGTAATGAAGAGTTCTTCTTCCGAGTTCAGAGAAAATTCTGGAGAATTCAAACCACCCTCTACATTCATTGTAACAACATAATTATCAATTTCACATACTTCGATATTCGAATCTACTACCCTAGGCGCTCAAAGGCCGGAGTTGCCGCAGTATTCGCCGATGCGGTCCGAGATACACTCGAAGATGTCGAAAGACACGTCGCAGTTGCGCCCGTTATCTGAAAATAATGTGTTTCACAAATAAATCCCGAAACAAACAAAAATATGAAAAATAAGGAGTTTAAATTACTGAGTTAGCTGTTTTCTTTCTTAAAAGATCGAATGAGCACTCGATTAAAAACGAAATCTATGATTGTGTCTAGAAGCTGATGATTTGTAAAAATTATAAATAATTATTAAATGAAAAACTTTTCGTCCATTTTTCTACATTTTTTATGTTTCGTCTTAAGGGCAAAGATAAGCAGTATATAAACTTAATATAGAACTTATTAAAGTAAGTCTTTATTTCGAATCAGCTTTCACCCGTAGCTTTAACAATTGCATAATCCGAATGCACTCAGCCGTAGCACGTTGAACATCGAATAAACATTACGACAACGAATTTTCACATCGAAAAGAAATTAAAATTTTTATAGTGATAATTTCCGCACATAAAATGACAATAATTTCTTATAGCATTAGCGACGTCAAACAATGCAGATATACCGTTGAGATTTTCATCGGTGTGGCAATCAGCCACTACAGTTAAACACTTTTTTTATCGGTGGTAGGGCCACGCAGCAGCCGCGGCTGTTGCACGAATGGGCGGGCCCCTCCGGGTGGGTACCCACGACCTAGAAGACCAGCGTAAAGTGGAAGTATGATAAATACTTCGCGTTTCGTCTGGTGAGTGCGGTAGCCGGAGCCCAATTTTCAAAAGGTTGTCAACGCATCTGTAACCCTCGGGTGTGGCACATGTCCATGGGCGGCGGTATTCACTTAACATCAGGTGAACCGTCTGCTCGTTTGACAACTTTTCGCTAAAAAAAAAAACTTAGTGGTCAAAGCGTCTAGGCGTGAATCCGAAGACGTGGGTTCGATTCCCGCAGCTGCAAAATACCCTCCCACCTCAGTCGCTTGGTTTCTACAAATTTTAATAATTCTTTTTAAATTCCAATAGAATTCCTAGAATTCCATAGCAAACAAACCCATTGGCACCGCTCTGGAGAACTTGTCGTGGTTCCTCATCAGACATTCACGCGAGGCTTCGAGCACGGCCATGAAGTATCCGCGCTCGTTGACCCCGTCCGAGTACAAACCCACTAGACCCTCCAACGTGGGGAACCCGTAGCCGTCGACCTGGGAGAAAAGTTATAAATATACCTCAAATAAAGAAGAAAATAAACGTTGCTCCTTATAGAGAGGTAAAGGAAATGGCTAGAAACGGGGAAGGATGGACGGTGTTACACAGCTGAACTACTGGGACGCTGCACTGATGAGCCTAGCTCTTAAATTAAAGAAGAAGAGAATCCGTTTTGCAATAGCGTGAGCAATATTACGTTAAATTTTCAATTCCATTCATCACAATTTAAAAAATAATTTACAGCGACTCACTCTACTAATTTTATTTGCCTCTGCGTATTAAACGATGGACAGTAGAGTTGCGTTTAAAGTTAGATAGTCAAAACGGCTAACTGCACGTCCAATCGGTGTAGGTACCGACTACGTCCGGACCTTTCGGAGGTCCTCGAGGGTGCTTGGGATTCGTTGATGAGGGATCGGGGCTTATTATTTAGTTAATTACTAGCAGAACCCGGTCACGTTTCGCTGTGGTTTTTTTTTTCGTTTTCGATGGAACTTTAAACTCTTTTTAGTGCTAAGCTCGCCTTTGTACATTATTTGTTTTTGTAATTTTGTTTTCTCTTATACTCTATGTACAATAAAGAAAGAACTTTGGGAATAAATGTATTTAAAAGCCCTCGCCTGTTTAATAGCTTTGTTTTGAACAAATATCAAGTTAATCCATTGGCCAGTTTTTGGGGTGCTGTTGACACAAACATAAGGAAGAGAATTTTTATAATATATAAAGATGTCTCGCGATATTTTAAGTTGTTAAAACAACATAGTATTGTGTATTCATGTATCAATCAGAGGATATCTAGCATTAATTGTTCTATACAATGTCCTGTTTCTTTTTATGTTCTGTTTTTCCTTTTATGAAGCCGCAATAGGCCAGTATGATGATGCATTGCCACCATATGCCACCTAAAGTGAGGCCCGGCTACCTCACTTCGTCCAACAACAAGACTGTTGCGTGGCCCTACCACCGTTTGAGAAGCAAGACATTCCAAAAGCAAACAAGTTGGTCATCCCATTGTCATTGTTTATGTAAGCTAAAATGATTTTCCGTTAACTGTATTATTTAGTAAAATAAAAGCAGGCAGCAACAGGTAGCAATAACTGTTAAGTCGTTTGCCAATAAAAACAATTTATGAGAGGACAGTCAGTTTATCGGATGCACCGATTTAAAAAGTGTAAATAACTAAGTTGAAGTCATTCATTGGCTTTTTGTCTCAGTTTTCAAATCATTATAAATAACACAATACGTAGACCGTTATTAAATTCGAGATCTCATATTTTTCAGGCGGAGAAACGCGAAAATCGTATATCAAAGCTGCTAATGTGACTTTTACAAGTACAGACGGTTAAATTTAATATTGCTCAGTTAGAACACGCAGGCTGTAATTTAATTGAAACCATAAATTCATTCTATCACTGCAGCGATCGATCTAAATAAACATTTGCTCGGCAGGACCAACGAAATCAATTTAAAACTGCAATGAATAGTCGAGGGCCTAAAGGCAATTAGAGGGACTCGGGGTAACAATAAAAGAAGTCGACTTTATAGTTCTGCTTCGGTATACAAGGAGTTTTTAGTGTTCGTTTATTGAATGCCGAGGCCGAAACGTTTTTCTCTCGATCGCCCCGACTCGAAACGCACTATTTCAATATGAGGATTAATAACAGCACCATCACGAAGTGCTTTTATGACAGCAATATTTATATTCAACGCGCCCCTCGGATCGTTCCGAACGGACGACGAATTTCATTCTCGGGGTTTATTACTTTGCCCGTATGTTTTATAGTTAACAAATTGGAGCAATCAACTCGTGACATAAAGCATAAAAGTTTGCGATCTTTTTCTTCGTTATTATTGAAAAGGACACAGGCGACCTCGAACGCGGTCTGGATATTAACCCTCGTTTAATTGAAAAATAAACGGCGAATTCGCCCATTTCTTTAACGGCCACCCCTGCACTTCGAATTTCCGTGGACGTAGATCCTTAATTAGCGGAGTGCAAGTCGGCCTGTTGGTTTTAAAAAAGGAATCAGGCTGTAAAACTTTATAGCGGTTTTAGCCTCACGACCGTTTCCCCTAATTAGGTTGGGCGATGAAACTAGAAGGCTTCGGCGAACTTTTCTTAAAGGCCTATAGTTGTATTATAGGCCTGTAAGGAAAGTCCACCAAAGTATAGATATGGGTATTATACATGCTTATAATATAATATATTGTCCTACCTATATTATATTATATCTGGATATAAATTTCGTCCAACAAACCCTTATGGCAAACCGAAGGAGCCATGAAATCCTTACTAATATAATAAAGGCGAAAGTTTGTATGTATGGATGGATGTTAGTTACTCTTTCACGCAAATACTACTGAATGGATTTTAATGAAACTGTACAATAATATAGCTTTTACATCAGAATAAGACATAGGCTATAATTTATATCCATATTTTATTTATATCTGTCTTTCTGTCTGAATGTTATGCCTTCAGCCTACGCAGACGTAGTCGCGTACAATATATATATTCAACAGAACTATCTAGCTTTAAAATTTCAGAACTTTGGAACACAAACACGATGATAAAGTAAATAAAAATTGCATGAACATATCACGAGAAAACTTACTATACAGAAAACCTTTGGACGTAGATTTCAAATTGAATGAGTCAATTGGATATTCGATGTAATTGTTAACCTAATATCTAAAGGTCGGTCCTAACTATTGGACGGATAAACAATAGACATATCTATTTCCAAGTATCGATTTAAGTAATATGAGAAGAAATATTCGTATTCCTTATATATCTTTAGCCCACTTTTAATGAAAACAAAACCACATCACCGCATTATCGCGACATCAGTTTCACGTAGTCGGGTGTCAATGTCAAAAGATAAAATATCCTACCTGACGGAGTCCATCCCATGCGTAAATTAAAGTTTGTTTTATAATTTGTATTTATTTTACAACAACTATTGTATCTAAATTTCATTATTTCCCTTTCAAATATTTATTTAAAATTTGCAATTTACAGGCTCTTATTTTTAATATCTCATATACAAAGAAAATCAAGAAAAATCATTGTTAAACCGGAGAAAACAAATTCACTACAAATAACTTCTTAACAAAATTTAAATAATATTAATTATTTAGTTATCATTTATTTATTAATGTGTGACTAAAAACCTTTGTATCCCTATATGTATAGTTATATACATAAAAAGTAGATATATATTAAAGTTAATTTTTTTATCGAAAACTATAATTTATATGTAACACGTATTATAAATATGTTAAATTACATAATAACACACTTTTTTATGATCACATTGAAGAACACACAAAGAGACACATAAAGCAGAGTATAAGAACTAAATTTATATAAAATAAGTTCAATAAATGATTTGAATGGCTCTAATATAGCATAGGAGCAAGACCTAAATTGATAAATGCATTAACTCTTACTTATAAATATGAGATACTAAGTACAACTTACCGCTTTCACTTTCCGGTAAACACACTGCAACAGACACTGGAAACAGAGAAAAAAAGTAAATATATACGATGCTTTTACGTTCACTCTATTCTACTGTTATTTTACCAGAGGTTATTTAAAAATTTAATAAAACATTCTATTACGTTTTGTCTCAAAACAGTTGTATAGCGCAATGTATAATACAGTTATGTTTATAGGATCGGAAAGTTTCCTGATGGTGACCTAAGCCATCTGATTTAGATCCATGTGACATGTCCATGTGTGTTGTCTGACGCCATCTTGTTCAAGCCATCTTGGTCAAGCCAAAATAAAAACAAATAATACACATAAATTCGATACATATAAATTCGAGTATGTCTGTTACAATCTAAAACCGTGATAGCACATTGTCCGGGTGCTCGCCTTTAATTATATTTACTCGAGCAACCTGAGTTCGATCCCCGGTTTCAGTACCAATGAAATTATTAATTTTATTGGTGCTGGCAATCTTTACAGAGTAGGCCTTTACCCAACAGTGGAACATTTATAGGCTGTTACTTTAATCTAAACAATCTCAAGCGTGGAAGCAAACTAGGTCATCCATCTAAATATCTCCTTGTTCAAATAAGAAGAAAAACTGTAAGTGGAGTGTAACAAAGGCAATATTTTCTATTCTTATTATTACTTTTATTATCTTATTTTCTTATCTTATTTATTTTTTCAAAATTAATAAAAATGTTCTAGAGAGCGATACAAGCTGTAAGCAAATTCACAGAGCCGCAGCGCAGTGGACACCAAATACATTTACGTACACTTTCGTATCACTACATAGTATAAAACAAAGTCGTCCCGCTGTCTGTCTGTCCCTAATTGTTTAGATCTTTAAAACTACGCAACAGATCTTGATGCGGTGTTTTTTTTACTAAATAGAGTGATTCAAGAGGAAGGTTTACATGTATGATACAATCACCCGTTCTAAACTCGGGCGGGTCGCCAGTAGATAATAAAGTATATATACTTACGCCGGCAATTCTCTTCTCGTCGTGTGTGAAGGGAACCTCCCGTTTATTACGCCGCCTCTGCGCTGGCATGGTGTGCTCCTCCTTTATCACGTCTAGGGCCTCTGAAATTTCGGTAAAACACTCTGAGCAACACTCGAGGTTTTATGTAAGAAGGTGGTAAGCGAGCTTCGTCTGATGTTAAGTGATAACCGCCGCCCATGGACATTTGCAACACCCGTGGGTTTACAAATGCGTCGCCACCTTTTAATAAAGTGGGCCCCGGCTACCTCACTCAGCAGACGAAACGCATAATTATAGCACTTCTGCTTCACGCCGGTCTTCTATGAGGTCACGGTACTTCCCCGGGCGGACCTGCCCGTTCGGGCCACAGACAACTGTTGCGTGGCCCTATCACAGTTGAGGTACTAGTTTTTGGAACTAACTACCATTCATGGGCATCGACAGATTCTAAAGACAGTTCCTAAAATTTGCGGTATCTTTACTTCCCAAAAATGTTATTTTTGAGTCGTTTTTTAGGCGGAAATACGTTTTTATATCACTGCAGCCATAAGGTTCATTGGTTTTTTGTTATTACAGTGTGACTATTTGTTGCAGCGTTTGCAGTTTTAAATTAATTGCTGTTTTTAATAAATTGCGGTCATCAAGTTTTTGTTCAAAAAAATAACGGTTATAGAGCTTTACGGTGACATGAAAACGATGAAGGAAAATGTGCTCCTGCGTATAAGCGGTGAAAAAGTGGGTAGCAGAATTAAAGTGTGTAAAGGTTGATGACTTCGTGGCGCAGTTGCCAAGGTATTGGCTTCGGCGTCGGGGGTCGTGGGTTCGATTCCCACACGGGACAACTATTTATGTGACCCACAGATAGTTGTTTCGCATCTGGGTGGTTGTCCGCGTGAAATTTATGTTTGTAAAACGTCCTTACAACACAGGATAATATTATCCCAAAGTAAGGGCAATGTATAAAAAAAAAAAAAGAAAAAAAAGAAAAGGGGATCATCCGAAATGACCTTCACTCTGGCGGTCGTTAGATCTACGACTGAAGAAAACATTGTGTATGACCTTATAGTAAGATATAGTACGAACTACGTTCAAGATAATTTAAAATTGTGCAACAAAAATTGTCAAGAATAAACTAAAAATATCTGAAAGAAATTCTTAGTTCATTTGGTGGTAATATTTCTAATACCTACTTAATTGTGATAAATCTATTTACCTTTCTTACTGAGCTGTTTTAGATCCATATTACGTTCCTCTTGGTTTTTCCTTTTTATGTAATAAAACATTGTTGCTTTATATCTTTCTATTGATATAAAAGTTATAAAAACATATATGAACATAAAGTGATGTAACAAAACTTATACCATTACAATTACGATCGTTCCGAATTACGATCTCGTACGTAAGACTTACATGAATTATCCCCGGTAAAGTGGACGTCGTAAATATAAACAAGTTTATCTAGGACAGGTAGGTCACGGAGTCTCGGTACGTTCACTTTCAACGACGGAATTCATCCTACATTGCGCCTAGTTCGATACTAACTAGTGTTGGTGTGAGCGAACAAGGTACTCATACTTAGTATCAAAGATTAATGATTGTTGTGAACTGTGCAATTTTTTCAATTGCAAAGTTTTAGGATATTTTTCTGGATCGTCATTTTTTTAGTTGCACATGGCAACAACACATATCGAGTTATCAGGTTGGTTAGTAGTTAGTGGTTAGCTTTTTAGTGGAACAAAAGTACATTTATATTGTTTTATATTCATAAGGATAGGCGTGAAATCTTCCAATGAAATAAATAGAGCCATGGGAACGCCATCTAAAATATACTCGTGCTTCAGGAATATTATTATCCTTAAGGTAAGGGAGTTGTACAAACAAAAATTGTTCGACAACAAACAACACAACACTGACCTGCAACAATCAAACAACATATAGACCGCTTTCTTGTTTAAATGTAATGTAATTAACATTGTATTGACATGAGCGTGAATAAATTCGTGCTCGCAATCTACTAAAATGTTAATCGTTTTTATCGGAATTAAAGTTGGACAACTACATTTCTGCGGTGATAGGGCCACGCAGCAGCCTCGGCTGTTGCACGAATGGGCAGGCTCGTCCGGGTAAGTACCACGACCTCACAGAAGACCAGTGTAAAGTGGAAGTATGACAAATACGTTCGTCGGTGTGGCAATCAGCCGTTTAGCTCAGTGGCTAGAGCGTCAGGCCGCGAATGCCGAAGACGTGGGTTCGATTCCCACAGCGGCGACAATCTTTTCGCACTTTTTCTACATATTTTAAAATACGTTCGCGTTTATATTATTGAGTACATTCCGAGATTTATTAAAAACTAGCTGCTGCCCGCGACTACGTCTGCGTAGAATAGGCTGAAGGCGTAATATTCAGACGGAAAGAATTTTATGCATAATGTATATCTACATTATGCATAAAATTTTTGCCTATGTCTTTTTCTGTCGTATAAGCTATATTATTGTAAAGTTTCATTAAAATCCTTTCAGTAGTGTGTGAAAGAGTAACAAACATCCATCCATACATACAAACTTTCGCCTTTATAATATTAGTAAGGAAAATCCTTACTCTCCTTAGCTCTTCGAGAAACCAATGTAATATCGTAGTTTCCATTCGGCACACGGATTGTCTGTTACCCAATAACCGGCGAATTACATACTTCCCTCCATTGAAATACAAAGGAAGAATTTCTGCAGGAAATTTTAGAAAACTCATTATCTAAGCTATTTATCAGTTTGAATATCAATTTATAGATATTTGGATGTATATTTCTATTCAAACGTATTTCTTACGTAATATGCGTATGAATTATATTTTTTATTAATGCCAAACTGACTTGAAAATATGGAAATGTTCTGATAATCATCCTCATCTTTAGTGCAACATTATTAATTTTTTCTAAAAGATTTTGAATTTTCTTTCTTCTCTCATTATCCAAACCAATTTTGTATGTAAATTATTAATTTTATGCCTAAACTGCTTCATTTTAGAAAAAAAAACGCCCGCATTTCTTTCGCAAGCAACCCCGTAACAGTCGGATGGTCACAGAACTGCAGTCCTAGCTCAGTTTGTGCAATGCTTTCACAACTGTCAGCGTTATATGGGACGCGATCGTGTTCGCGATTGCAACCGGGATATTTTGCAATGCGCTAAACCAGCCCTCCTTTACTATTGATTAGCAACACCTTCTAGAAGCTAAAGAACTTTCCATCATTTCCTTTTATTGCGAATACTTAAAGGCGTAGCATTATGTACTACTAATACGAATGTATTGGCAAAATTCACTTTCCCTAGAGCATTTAAAACGCCATGATAAATGACTCAAATTATCTTATCCTATATTGAAGCTGGATTCTGTCACGTTTGCGTTAAACTGTAGGATCTGTATGAAGCACGCTTAAAATTATGGGCGAAATCTACAAAAATTAACACTTTTTTTTTTTTTGGAGAAAAGGGGCAAACGAACAGGAGGCTCGCACACACTGGTTGTTCTCTGCTGTTAAGTGGAAGTTGCAGGAGAAATAGAAGATCTGTCTCTTTGAAAGTAGAACACCAGCAGTTAAGGATTATTCAGTCCCCTAAATTAAATTTGCGTTTAAGATGCAGGCTCTTAAAAGAGTCGATTTGAAAGCTCAGGACCGGACGCCCGCATTTAATTTGGTATACTCGATAATTGGTGCCGATAAAACTGTTAATTTCCATTTTGCGCTTCGAAATACTTTAAAGTAATATGCGAAGATAACTGTTTGCTTTCCGTATTTGATATTAAGCAGAAAAATAAAGAAGCAGTCTCATTTCTGGGACCCATTCTTTGAACTGGAATTATTATAGACACCAGAATTAAAATTCAGATTGATCAGATAATTCAAAAAATGAACAAAAAAGTTAAAATGCAACTCCGGAAGGTGGGTTTATGAAAATAAAACAGGTTGAAGTAAAATAACAAACAAGTCATACTTTGCATCATTCGATAAAATGGCGTCGCGTAATATTTTTATTTTACAAGCAACTGAAAGAACGGTACATATTAAGAGAGGGTATATCGGAATGCGAAATGAGTATTAAATAATAATTGTTTACGCGAGCACGTCCGATGATTGAATACATTTGCATCATATTTTAATAATAGTATTACCGTGTTTATTCATTGTTCACTTCTTGGCTACTGATTAAGTGCAATTTATATTAGTCTGTTGTTATTTGCTTCATGAGGTAAATAAAACCGTTTAAAAACTTTTTAGTTAAACGGTTTTATTTTATGTGCACTGAAAACTGCAATATTCTATTGTCATCTAAATTAAATGTGTGTACCAAATTTCAGATCAATCTGACAACGGGAAGGTGCTTAAATTTCAATTTCTAATTTTGACCCAAATAGATAAACAAATTCCGTACGGGTCGAGCTAAAAAAACCGTTTAATAAAGGTAGGTTCGAATGGTCTGGAACTATTTCACTGTCTCGTTGGCGTTAGAGTAACGTGACATCGTTAACCAGAGGTTAACTTTGAAAACGGACACCATGTTGAATCCTGCCGGATTAAAACCCTCGAACTTCAGACCCTAGACCCAGACCAAGTCAATAAGTAAGTAAGTAATACCTTTGTGTACTTCTGATAAATCGATCCCATCGATAAAGTTGTTATCATTTAAATATTATTCGCAAAAGCAAAATTTTGGTTACAAAACTATTATTCATCAATTTGTACCTTATCCTTAGATTATGCAACTACAAAAATTAAAGCAGCTATCGAAGAATTAGTGTCAATAAATCTTGCGGCATTCCTTTTATTCCCAACGCGTTATTTAATTTATTAAGTATAGGGAATTATTTTATTAAGTTTCCATAAATTATTTTGATCTATATACTTTATATTTAGCTAAGCAATATTCCACTGTAATACATTGTTACAACAGACACTGACAGAATACATAACACTTTTAAATGAGACGAATTTAATATTTATTAATATAATAAGATGATAGAGGTATGCTGATAATTGCGCATCACGGAAAAACTACTAGGTTTCAATTAATTTTCTAAGATTTATTTCTTCAATACTTGGCCCTCTTGCCAAAATATATTGTGAAATTGTGATATCTTCATTAAATAAAAAAAGCGTTGTTTAAAACTTTTAAACAACGCTTTTTTTGTATGCTCTTTGATTTTTCGTATAACTATATTGGTTTTCCTCTGCACATAGTGCATTGTTAATATAAAAACCATAACGAAATCGCGGGATATAAACTAGTACCAAATAATCACAAAACACCGTACGGTAATTTCTTTCTCGTAAATACGTTTTTGCTATAATGTGCTTGTTCTTACAATGTAAGCTTTGTGAGTCAACTATGATATTCTAATCGATTCTGTCGTTTATTCTATCTTAAAGGAACTGAGAAATCCTTTTGCATACTAATATTACCGCGTGATTCATAAGCGACCTTAAGTGAAACAGTTACAATCCTTACACATATATACTCATGTACGTATTGTCAATACGTAAGAAAGCGCGCCAAATCAGAGCCGTTTTTTGCGTTCGAACGTTACCGTTAAAGTAAGTAAGACAATCGGCACATCAGAAAAAACTTTAGCGTCGTGCCACACCGTGCCACCATGTCAAGTTGTATAAAAAATAATATTGAACAGCCGGAGCGTGGGATGCATAATATTAATTGTACTTCACTTGCACTATGATCCTACATTCATACACGATCCGACTAAAGGAAAACAATGATTAACGAGAATGGCTTAATTAGTCATTTATTTAAAAATAAATTAATAGTTAATATAAAGATACCTAGTTTGTAAAAATTTTAAATGAAAATGAAATGAAAAATAAATACAAATGAAAATGAAAAATAAATACATGAAACGAACTTTCATCTTTTTGGAAAATAAAGTGGGCGGATATTTTATGCTTGAAATTTTAATTCTAATCCTCTCGATTTAAATTGAACTCCTAACACCGCTAAATGTGGCACGGTCTTAACAAAATCCCGTTATGTATCCTTTTTATGCCGATAATACGGGTCTGAAACCCGCAAAAAAACATGTCGCTAGAGTTTTCGCATCAATTGTTCTAATTTCGTTGGATGTTACTTGCGGTAAATTGAAAACGCCAAAGTAATTTCTTTAACGTTTATTTTATCTAGAGATTTGTTAGTTTTTTTTTTGCTTGAGATGAGTATCTAATCCCTTGAACTACGGACCTTTATCAATATAAATAATATCATTAATAGTCACAATTTCATAAATTGTGGGACATAATTATAAATTGTTAACTTTTTGCTTTACATACAAATACGAAATCGTTAGCTTTACATATGTAGCGTCGAACTTGAACAAGCAACCTTTGCCAGTGCCCGATCAAATGAGACAAGGTTACGAAATAGTGAACGCGTTTTACCACAACGGCCTTTGAACGTGTTAAACAGAAGCGAATCGAGTTGATAAAACGTGAGAATTATTTAACGACAAGTAATCTTTTGTTAAGGTAACAAAAGCTATGTCATTTTTGCTTACTGTTAATACAAAACGGAAGCACTAGTCGTCCCGAACTAAAAGTTGAGGGAAAGATCCAGTATCGTAATCACGATGGTAAAATTACCTAAAATAGAATGTTAATTCTAGTAAGTAGTAATAGTAGAAATTTTTAAAACTAGTGACTTTTTTTTTCTCTTTTTTAAAAAACATTTCTCTTACTTTAGGATAACATTATCCTGTGTTGTAGGGACGTTTTACAAACATAAATTTCACGCGGACAAACACCCAGATGCGAAACACCTAACTGTGGGTCACACAAATAGTTGTCCCGTGTGGGAATCGAACCTACGACCCCCGACGCCGAAGCCAATACCTTGGCTACTGTGCCACGGAGTCATCGACTTTTACTTATAAACATCAAAAGACCCATTCTTAACTCGTTATCATATACTTTTTAAGTAATTATAGTGATCATATTATATTTGGAAATCCTAAACTGGTGATACTAACATAAACGCTAATAATAACGGAATCTGTCCTACGTTTTATCGAAAATTTCAACATTTAAACGATAAAATGACATTAGGATTCAGGGTACCATTAAATCACTATAATATTGCAACAGATAATATCATGCGTTTGCAATACGTGGCTTGGAACGACCGCAATTAATTTTTATGAAATATGACGATCGAAATACAAATTAGGGTCACGCACGATTACAAATCTAACACCGTTACACAAGTTACGAGGAATAACAACATTCAAACAACTTTCCTTTCCTTCATATCGAAACGAACTGAAACCAAGGGCTGGTATTGTTTTTTATAATAAATTTAATTGAGAAATATTAAGTTAAGCTAAGTTAAGCAACAAAAATCATTTAAAATACCGTGTAGGTTTAGGCGTGAATTAGTGGACGTGCTAAATAAACGTCATGTCAGTTTGATTATTTGTTTCGAGTTAGTCGTTGTATTAGTATTGTACCGATACTGCAATGTCATTGACACCAGCAATGGCATTAAACTATGGGCTTTATAAAACAAAACATGTTGACTATCAAATGTGTTTCAACTAATCATTTCAACCCTGACAACACAGGCTAGACATTAAGTTATCCAGTCAAATGAAGATAAGGCAACTTATTGACTAATAACCAATTATAAGCCAACTGCTTTATCTTATTTTTAAAAAAGAGCTGCAAGTGATTTATTCTTCTTTTTTTCTTTTTTAACAACGTTATCTAGTTTCAGACTAAGCATAGCTCGTACTATAATACTATGTAAGTGATTACCGCCAGCAATATATATTTGCAACATGGGAGGAGTTACAAATGCGATGTTAGCGTTAAACTCTTTTATTAAAAAAAAGATTTTAAAGATCCCCCAAGTCGTAGTGACTGTTTTATACTTTTTCATTATAATCTATATTTTATCATTCATAAAAAAAAAGCAATGCATATTTTGCCGCAGTTTGAAAACGGCTCATATGTAGACCGGTGTGAACGGGAGTGGCCTTGACTTTCCCAAGTGCTAGGAACAAATCTAAATTCAAATACAAGAAAAAAAAAGATATATATAAAGATACAATGTGACAATATTTATTTCATTGTCTTTGATTGAGAAACATTTAAGCCCGTTTTCGATAACCTATATATCTTTAGATGTGGTTACTGGAGATAGAATTTTGACGTAAGTATAAGTTAATGACAAATACCCATCGCTAGTAACCAAATCTACAGTTAAATATAATATTGAGACCGGCCGTTAGTGACGTGCTGAAGCAAGATAGTTAAGAAATACGTAACAGCTAAAAGTCATACCCTCGAACGTGTTATCGAGCACCGGGAAATTGCAAAGCGTAAAGTTGCGTATCCGAATTACGTATTGCGAACGGTATTGCGTTCGCTTTCACCACCGGCCGGTGACCTTGACAACTTGCGACCTGAACGAATCGCGTGGAAGATGCATTAACAGCGATATCTGCGTTTGTCTCGACAGCTGAGCAGTTAGGACGTGGGAAAGGTGAGGTCCTTGGTGTAAGCCTCAGCTATTCGAGACGCGTATTATCGGCGAGCCGTGAACATTATCTCAAGCTATTCTTGATACGCTGTAAAATGTTATTATTAAAATTGTATTTTTGATGTAATAATTGTTATAATTAGTTTTTTGCGCGGTTGGAAATATTATGAGTGCAAAATTTTTTCGATGCTCGCGCAACTACCCTCAAAAAGCGCCATGATGCTTGGTAAACAATTTAATCTTCGCAACCAATAACGTTTACCAATAATTTCAAGTTATCTAAATAAACCGCTAGCAATTGCATTTAATTTTTTTTACGCTAAAGAGCTATAACTTATTACGTGCCTACATAAGCACAAACTTTTTTTTGTTACTGACTTTGAAGAGAAGTGACAATGTGGTCAGAGTAAAATGTAATTTAATCTCTCCGTGTATTTACCGTCGCTTTAAGCAATATAGACCACATAACAAGAATGCCTTTTTGGATTTAATTTAATTTAAATTTAATTATAACAAAATTGCTAAAACATTAACATCACTTCGACAAACCTCACACGCTGATGCCATCCGAAGGCACAATGGTTATTCGGGGACTATAAAAGAAAATACCGTTTTAATTAATGCCGTAAAGTTTAAAACGCTCAAAAGGATGACCCACATTTGAAGCACACCTCTTTGGCCTTAACGGCTTACTCACTCGCCTGGAATTCGGATTGTTGGTGCCCTTAAACGTTCCCATTTTTTGTCCACATTTTTATCCGACAAGGGTAGCTAACGCGTTTTTAAATCGTTAACCCGAATGTAAGATCTAGTCTAAAAAGGGACTTGTCTTAATAACATTGTATTTCGTAACATCGTTTTGCAGTTTACTAAAGCGCGTAAGTGTAGTAAGATATGATATAACTGACTTTTACGCGAGTCACAAATTAATTAAAAAGGCGTTTGCATTCTACCGTATTCGTACCATAGGAGGTTTTGCATTCAGTTGAGAATCGGATTAAGTGGTATGTTGTGTTGAGTGCTATTAGTGAATAGTTTCTTCACGCGATATATCTAGAACGCTTACGGGCTATTCACGTTGCCATGGCAACCAGTTCTATTACGGTTAAGGCGGAGTAAACAATCTTTCGCCGACGTGGGTTTATAGTCAGCTTACCTCTAAGTATGGAGACCTTAATCTCATCTTGACAGAGTGTGATGACGCGCTCGATCTTCTGCGGTGCTGTGGGCGGGTTGCGGCATCTCTTTTCCTGGTAACAATAAAATATTGCCATTACAGATAAGCCCCCCCAAAAATCAAGTCATCGCAGTTACTTAGGATTTAGTAAACTTTTTAACTTTGGTAGGGCCAAAAAACACTTCTTTTCTGTTGCGGGAACGGGCAAGTTCGTCCGGATAAGTAACCACGAACTCACAGAAGACCGGCGTGCAGTGAAAGTGTTTTCGTTTCATCTGGCGAGTGTGGTAGCCGGGGCCCATTTTATTAAAAGCACTGCAATTGTCAATGGGCAGTGGTTATCGCTTAACATCAGGTGAACCGCCAGCTCATTTGCCACCTTCTCACATAAAAAAAACGATATAATATATTTCGCTAATGTAATATTTTATAAAGAATAAAATTCTTGTCGCACCGTTCCATGAAGAAAGTGTTAACAATTCGTTAATCAACATATTTTACTCGAGTTTCAAAAACTTTTCTTTAATTAAAATAGGATATAGCGATAAAATGTAAACTTAAAAATGTCTGCCCTGAAATACCGCATGTCTTTTCTATATCATGCATTATACGTATATATACATATGGGAGCAATAGTGGTACAGAGCTTCCCGGGCTCAAATAAAAGCGAATATCAGTAAGGAGTTTCTCTATTTTTATAAGTAAAAATTACTCTTTCATCTTTGTGACCAATTTACGGCCACCTTTTATGACCTCGGCGGGAAGAGCATAATAATCTCTATAAATGGTTATAAAATCGTATTTCTGTTGTTATCATTCATAATTCTATGACACCACAAAGTGATCGATGAATCGTTGATGGGAATGAAACCGGGACTCTTTCGGTTGCCATGTGCTTTTCCGACAGGACTATCTGAATAACCAGTTCTATGATCGATAAAGTCATTAAGATTCTTCTTGAATATATTACTTAGAAAACTCGTTCCATTTACTTAATGCATCTTCCTAAAATTCAACAATTTATACATGTTAATTAAGACATCAGCATAGGTTAACTAGATCATAAAAAATTCATCAGCACGAACCATACAATATATACGATTTGCAATAATAAAGCTTTAAAGAATAGTGTATGGAGCAATTTTAAACTTAAGCATAAACATTTAATTTAATTAAAATCTTCCTTCTTTTTCCTCATAGTATTAGCCGTACTATCACTACATAGTATAAAACAAAGTCGTCCCGCTGTCAGTCTGTCCCTATGTATGCTTAGATCTTTAAAACTACGCAACTGATCTCGATGCGGTACGGCTTGATCTTTTTTACTGGATAGTGATTCAAGGGGAATGTTTTTATGTGTAATACATTGCACCCGTGCGAAGCCGGGGCGGTTCGCTAGTAAACTATAAAACTTTCTAAATTAACGTCCAAATCTATATAACAACGTAAAAAACAACAGAATTTGATGTAGATTCAGATGTTTCTCTTTAATTCTTACATGCCAAAATCGTTCAGTTGAATACAGGTAGGTATTGAATCAATAATTTTTGCTTTGCCATGTGTGGTTTTAAATAATTTCGGCTATTCACGGTCATCGTGAGTTATGTCTGCCAACCCCGTTTACGTTGCCGCTTCACAACATCGCGAAGGCACCACTCAAGCTTGCATCAAAGTCATCAAATACAATAAATCCAGTTTCTCATCCTCGAAAACGTAACGGCATCGGAAAACATGCAGCGTCATCTCCAAACTGACAAAGTCAATAACAAGCAGACGTAATCGGAAAGTCATCGATCTTTCGTGTTTAGAAATAGTTCTGTGGTGTAGGCGGTAGACGAATAGCCTTTTTGGTTTGGACGCAACGCCTAGGTTTATCAATTATCAGACACAGTTAAAACCAATAGCATCAGAAATACATCATCTGTGAAAATTTCAACTGTCTAACTATCAAGGTTCACGAGAGCCCGAGTTCAGCCTGGTGACAGATGGACAGATATACAGACAGACAAACAGCGAAATCTTAGTAATACGGTCTCGTTTTACCCTTTCAGTACGGAACCCTTAAAATTGTGCAGTGTATAAAAAATTTAACATTAACTATATATATATCACCAAAAAATTTAAGTTTTTTCATCATCAGCTTGCATATCTGATATTAAATATTGTAGTAAAAATATAAGTAGATTATTAAAATAAATACATACGCATATAATGCTAAAAGCAACAGTACTATACAGTAAATTGTTAACATCCAAAAAGAAAAGAATAATAAGAAACGTCTGATAAGTCTCCAAGGTATATAAGTTTTGAAATAAATCATCAAAATCATATCAAAGTTGTTCATAATCATTGACAATAATACACAAAAACAAATGTATCATTCACATTTCCAATTGTTTAAACTTCATTAATTGAAATCAGTTTTCTCTACATTTCAATAGAAAGGCCAATAACCTCATCAACACTACTTTCCAATTTTTATGGCAACACCGAAACAATTATTTAGTCTTATGCTAATGCGAAAGTGCATTTACTGTGCACACAAACATTATTTCGAATTATGCATCCGATTTGGCATACATCTTACTTAACAACGTCGTTTCGCGTTTCTTGCTATGCCATTTCAATTCATCAAGTATATGTTAAAAGCCCACCTCCCAACCGAATAAGTACGGCGATATATTTGTGTGGACCACGGTGGCTACAATGCGATCTTGATTAAAATTTGTTGGCACACTACAATGCTTCGAGATAAAATAAAACTCGCTATTGCCATTTGCAGTCCTCAAAGGTCATGCAGAATTCGTACTTATGTCGCCTCGAAGCGTGCGTTTTGGCCCATCTAAATAAAACGCAAGTTATTTTTTTTACTTTAGTGCCGTGTTGCGAGACATTTAAAAACTATTTTCCTGACTGTTTTCCTTCAACGCTGGGCAGGTGACGAGGTAAAACTTAAAATTAAGAATTTCATTGGTGCCGGCACCAAGGATCGATCTCAGGTTGCTCGAGTACATTGAATTAAAGGCGAGCGTTAAAAATCAAAAATTATTATGATAAATGGAATTTGATTACAATCTTTTACACATTGGAATAAATTTTTACCTTTTTTATTTGTGGCCACTGTAACTTCTTTAAAAGATGGTGTCATAAACATGTATGTTTTTGTCATGTAAAATCTTACCAACAAAATTTTCATGTTAGTTATTAGATACGTTTATTTTACAAAGTAGTGATTGGTTTTACAACTATCAAAATTTTTATAACTATCAGAATTTTTACAGTGTTATTTTTTTAATAATAAATTTACTTTTAATGTATAATAAATAATATTCAATTGGTTGTGAACAAGTATTGAATGATGAAAATGTCACGTGTAAAAAAATGTATCAAGCTCAGTCCTGCTCTTCCGTGTTTTTTAACGTTCTTTGACATTTGCATCTGTTCAAGTGATATCCAAATCATTTAAATGTTACAATGTGAACTTGCTCAGACCAATACAAGTTTTTGATATTAACTTATCTCATTAACTTTACTTCAAAATTTAACTTCGCATAGACTGAAATTACAAGACGAAAGAAAGTAAAAAAAGGAATTTACACTCGTAATATATGAACATCAAAATGTTATGTCGGTTGATTGATATGTTGATGTGACTTATATATTGCACCTGTTTGTCTGTGTTATGTTGATCTTTATTCGTCGTTTCCATATCTATTTTTTAGCCTTTTGGAGTCTACTACAAAACAAAGCGCTCGTCCAAAGACGAATGTTAAATATATAAAAATAGAATTTTCGGAACTATGCGACATTCTTATGTCTGTTAATGTGTCTCATCATGGCACTGGTTATTTTAAAGTTGTAACTCTTTTGGCGCGTTTGGAAAAAAATATGGTAGTAAAATTTTTACGTCAAAATTTTTACACACCGACTGGTTGTGCTTGTTTTACCTAATGTATAATTAGTTAGTTTTCTTTAATAATCATAATTTATTTAAATACTCGTGGCTGCTATGGCAATGTTGCTTTGGTTGGATGTCCGTATATTTCGCGGGTTGATGCCAATGTGCGGGAAGTCGATAGATGCAGGTGGCTCAGGATCGTACTTCGTGGCAGTCTATGGGGGAGGCCTATGTTCAGCAGTGGACTCAAACAGGCTGAAATGATGATGATGATGATGATGCCAACCTCGCTCCCTATTGGTCCGTTTGAAATGCGGCCGCCATACGTCACCGAGAAAGAAAAAAATGTCTTCTAATGGCGACGCTCACGCGCAACCACGCATAATTGCCGCTCCCGAAAATAAATCGGTTCCTGAACATTTTCGCACTACGAAACTGTGAGTGACCCTAGAACTGTGCTGCTGTGGTACCTGAATAAATCGCACGGAGAAAGGAGCATTCGCCTTCGTATATGCAGGTACGTCTAGCCTTAGTATTGTTGCCTTATTAGTAGCCTCGAGTTGAATCAGCCAGTGCCTAAGTTAATTACAGTCCTAACTTTGCTTTGGTATTTCCATAACCCTTTGCCTTTTCACACCACCGACAGCCAAAAAGCGACATGATGAAGTTGGTTGCAAAGCGACCAACTTTACGGTATTACCATGGCAACCAATAACAACTTTTAACAACGTCTAATTCCAAGTTTTTTAATTAAGCGTTATCAATTGCATGTTCGGTGCAATATTGAACCAAACAGCCTTTAATGACTTTTTCACAAACAAAGAGGCATAGCAGATACATTTTTAATTTTTTTTTCTTTTGTTACTATGTGCATGATACATCTGATCAGTTTTCATTAAACTGTGGTACTTTACCATTCGTACGTGCCCCGTATTAATACGCAGTGGTACGTAGACTCCAATGCAGAACAGCGATCGCTTTCGCTTCGACGAAATCGAAACGAGTGACAAGATAGGCCGATCGGTTAATACGGCTTTCATGCGTAAAGTATCAGCGGTAATTCGTTGAACATTCAAAAGTGAGATTTTCGTCAGCTTAGTTTAGCTTAGTGGTCCATAATCCAAACCATCTGGGCGCGAATCCGGAAGACGTCGGTTCGATTCTCGCGGCGGCGAGGAACTTTTCGTTCGTTTTTCTACAAATTTTAACGTTACATCTTAAGTGCAGAGATTATATTTCATTTTGATGCTGCAAAATAACTTACAATATTTTCGCGCAAACATAAATAACTCAGAATTAATACAATATTGTACATATTTGTCGTCCCGAAACGGGGACCTTGTTTAGTCTGACTTAGTGTGGGCAAAGAATTCACAAAGAGCCACGTCCATACCTGCATGATCACCTCGCAATCAAAAGTTACCTCTTATTATAAACGATCACTTTATCTGATACTTGAGAAAGTGACAAAAATGCTGGACAACATTATGATTCAAATTTGCAAGAATATCAACCAACGGCGCAGGCGGAAATTTAAATTCTTTTGATTTAGAAGACTGAGACAAATCAATCCCGTACAGGACACGGAGATGCTTCTTACTTTTATAACAGCTGGAAGAGAAGATTCTTTTACAGCTTTAACTATGACAGCGGAACGAGCGCAAAAAAAGAAAATCCGATGCCTGGGTCTGACACGAGTCTTCGTTTAAAAATTCGTCACACTTTCTTAGAAAACGCTCGAAGCTTGAAGTTTGATTATACACGGTCCCAATTTGTCGGTCTTATCTGTGTCCAGCCAAGGCATTATTTACAATGGCCACGTTTTGACGCGATTATGATTATGACCCCCTGACTTATTTACTGTTTGGATTCGCAGTGGTTTACTTGAAAAAGTATTGGTCCACCGAATCAGTTCATAGCTGTTGCACAATAAATATTTGAATACAGATTAGAAACTTGTTCTACTAAGTATTTAAATAGTTTATAAGTATTTACGTAGATGAAGTTTTAATCCCTTGTTGTTAAACAATTAAGCAGAAATCGAGTGTGTTATACTATCGTATTCATTGAATTCATAGAAGGTAATTCATATACAATTATTTAATTGTATAACTTATTTAATACCTTCAACTGATAACTTAATAATTAATTAACGGGTATCCTTTAGTAATACGAAGTCTTACTACTACTGTCACTCACTTAACTCGCTCGTTATATAAGCAAGTGATTGAACTCCGCTTCTTGAGAAAACTGGTACATAGCCTTTTAAGATCTTTAGATACGACCAATAAGTTCTCAGGTCGATTGCGCAATTTTGTTAGCACATGTGAACGGTACATTTCGCAGGAGTTTTTATTGTCTGGAAAGCAAAACTAGTCAATACAATGTTTCATTATATAGCGTCGTATTCAATGATTTCAAAATCCCTCGTCAATTGATCTCGTTGTCACCTTTTGTTCCTTCAATTGCGAGATTGGTGAAATAGGCTGTTATTTGTGAGCGAGATATATGCTTAAACCATACTAAATATCCTAGCACGTCTTATACTAAGCGAGATGAGCGTAGATTGTCATCGAGTTTTATTTATTTCTTACATCACACACTCAAATAAAATTTTGGTAAAATGTAAAGTCAACAAATCCGCGGACGTGAATGACTATGCCCTAATATTCTGTATACGAGTATATAATACGTTGTTACTTCACTTTTTTCGTTAAAATATGAATTACAAAAACAGACTGACTTATTTATATATATTGTATGTAAAAACGTAAAGTTCAAACTTATTAATTGCCTGGAACTCTGAAGTTGGTACGTAACAAGTCCACTTCGCATCGACTTCACAAGGCCTTCAGTTCTAGTTTACTCAGAATCGTGATTCAGTAGTTTTAAATGTACAACACAAGTTGATAATTAAGATCCCCGACACCGCTTGTCTGCCACTTTTATACTATCTGTCATATTTTTAGAAATTATGATGGATTATTTTCACCTGTCGTATTCCAGTCGTAATTTCACTTAGATGATCGACACAACATGGATATTTATTCTACATGGTTGTTAGTGATATTGGCTACGTTTTTTATGACCGGCTGCCATTGAAAAACAGCCAAATGTGCAACAATTATCTAATTATTAAAGGTTACAATTACTTGTTTCGTGTGTAAATCGAACCCACGATCTCCGGCGCCGAAGCCGAAGTCAAGCGCTTAGCTACTGCGCCACAGAGACATCTCATCCTTATCCACTAGACCTCGGTATAATATGACAAAGTTTTGTTAAACGAACACAATTCGTGACTGATTTTTTCGCAAATAATTTACCGCTAACACTCGACATTAGGCGGCATTGAGTCACCTCGAGTGGGCGTAGCCTTGCTACAGCCTTTATGGTCATACGATCTATATACGGCGAAGTGTGGGCTGCGATTCTGAGGCTTCGTATTTGTCTTTAAAATCCGACTGATATCACGCAGATGTATGCCGATGGTCCGGTTTAAAGATGATATTAACTTGACTGTAGTGCGTAAATCATTTTTTCAGCTAATACTTAGAAAATATGACTAAATAAACCGGCACAAATATCGGAGCATCGTCATTTGTACGTTCTCGATTCAAATGTATAGTTTATATTATTTAAAAAACCTTATTTTTAATTTGTATGCAGATAATCACGAGCTTTTCATCACCTTATCTTTCCACAAAAAAAAATCCACAAAACAACGTTTGCCGGATCAGCTAGTAGAATATATAGAATAATAATTCATATTCTATACATTCTAGTAAGTGATGGCCTATAAAACAATTTTTGTACTAAGCTACATGCCATTTTTACGGCATGTTATTATCTCCCTTCGCTTATCCGACCTGGGTTGGGTCGTCATTCCAATGAAACATGTTGTAAGTAGTTTTCGTTTTTTTTTTTTATTACAGCAACATTAGTGTTGACGTCAACCGTCCTAGGAGCAAACAAAAGGATGCGGAACAATTATCTGTTTCTCACACAAATACTTGTCCCGTGTGGGAATCGAATCCACGACCCCCGACGCCGAAGCTGAAAGCTTAGCAACTGCGCCACTAAATTCTTACGCGTTTTATTACGATGTGGTAAATGTCAATGAACAATGAAGTATTAATTAGCAGTGGTATACAGTTCATAAGATATAATGTTTACAGTATAATTATGTATTATTCTCCGCGGCTCCAACAGTGGGGTTCTTCCTTAAATACCATTTAGTTAGTTGGTTTATTTGGGACTTCCTAAGACAAAGCTGTTGCAAATCTACACATTTAAAATCTAATTAAAAAGTTGCGGCTAAATAGAGACACAGACACACAAACGATTAATTTGTCATCGTGACTATTGCACTAACTAAGATCATAAGACCGAAGAATTATTCGCTTTTACAGACTAACACTTTACCAATTCGATAAGACACGGAGACAAAATCGATTTCTTTTCCTAGCTAACTTACGCAAGCGACAAGTTATTGCATCAGGGCTTGCAAACTCTGCAATCTTCCTAAAGTGAAAAAATTATCTATTGACGTCCGTTTGCTAATTTCTCTTCAAGTTGCACGCGTGTTCAATGCGGTAAAGTGCTAAAAATTTGTAATGAACTGTTTGTATATCTATAAATAATATAAAATAATTATGTGAATATTTTAATAAGAAGTAACTTTAACAAGAGAAATTTTGTGCACACAAAGAAGATTGGCATGTAAGCGTCATATGCGGCAATAGTTAATTTCAATTTTAATTAATAATGATACTGACAAACAAATGATATTAATCTCAGTTAATTAATTATTGACGTTCCTGACTGCGGCCGGTGGAGGAAAGAGCAAATAAATATGCAAACCATAAAAATTAATGGAAAGGAGAAATAAAAAATCAGTGTTCGTATCAAATGTACAAAGCTGTACTTAGAAATTTCTCATAAAGATGACATATTAAATTATTAATTACAGATCGAGTAGGTAAGCAACCCATAAATGTATACTGTGGCCACGCTTCGCGGAGTTTACTTTCTCTCCAGTAGTTCCATTTCCACGCACCAAATGTTTAGGACATCTGACTTTTGCATTTTGTGAATGCAACCCTTACATCTTACGTGATGCGTGAAGTGAAGAGTGGTTTGTGCCCATAAAGTAAATATTTACTTTACATAATTGTGATAATGATTTAACATTGGTGGATTTTATGTCAAACAGAAGGATATATTTCATATGCAAACACGAACGCATTTCGATCTTACTTTATTTAAATTATAATTTAAACATTTAATTACGCTTAACGCGTTTAATTTGTAATTTAATTTTCCGAAGTTTCTGACACCCGTAACCATCATGTTAAGTACGTTTCGCAAAATGGTTTTAAATTATTATTTTTATACCATATTAATATTTGCATTATTTTTAATAACAATCTTCGTTACGAAGTAGGTCAAAGAAATAAGTTTTAGATTTATTTTTTATTTAATTTCCCTTTTAATTGGGAAAACTTACTGCTAGTAAGTACTTATTTAAAATATTTATTTTAACATATAAAAAACCTAATAACAATTAAAATGACACCTCTGAAAGGTTTTTGCTTATTCAATATTAATCATAAGTTTTGGCCTGACTGGAGGAAGAATAAAACGTATTGAAACCAATTTATTTTGTTTGACATCCATCTAGTCTCAAAACATTCTGTTCCTCTCATTGCTCTAATGTAGACATACAAAATATACTATTTATTCTAAGGAAAACAATTTCAAAGTGATTTCAACAATGCTTTGTCACAATGCTCTAGTCAACTTGTCACACGCTTTCAAGGTCGCCGCTGAGAAACTAGAGCGGAATCGTTGTAAAGTAACGACACCGATCGATTCTGTTCAGCATCACTTTATCAGATTTTAACTTTATTAACGTAATAAACTTCGATTAATATTAATAAAAAATAATAAAAAAACAAAACATACGTTCTCCGCCGATATTGCGCTGTCACTCAACGATATACCGAATACGCAGAGGCAACACACAAGAGCACTAATCTTCCGAACCATTTTACACATTCACTGTTTAATATGTTTTCAAAAAAAAAAATAACCGATAAATTCGTCAACAATCGGTCACGACTTTTTAATTTTTATGCGCGCTTGTTCGACGAGAGGCGAAAGGCGCACAACAGATCTCAGTATGGAGCCCGCGTCGCGAGTGCAGTGATTTTTGAAAGGCCCGCGTAGGAGGGTTTCGCGCCGATTTCTCATTGTTGCGTTCCGTTTGACGTAAATCTCGATCAGATGTAATATTTGCGTTACCTTTTCGTAACATATTTATCTGTATCCTACACTGAAAATGTAATGAATCGAGACTCATACTTTAATAAATCATCAAACCTATAGCATTATATTCATTAATATCGAAAAGTCTGTAAACAGCTTGCTACAAGTTTACTTATTAAAACAACGTATTTGAATTAATTTATGTATAAATTAATGAAAATAAACTTAACACAATAAAAAAATAAAATGTAAATAAAGTGTAATTAAATATTATGTTAGTATAATATAATGTTTATAAAAAGTTTTCATTTACCTACATTCTAAAAAAATCCTTTGATAATAAAAATATCTTAATAAATTTACCATTACATTATGAATTATTTAATACCATAAATATATTTCATTTATTGATATCCTAGAAGAATGAATACTTTAAAAAAAAAAAACAACTTCTGTTTTAATTTTGTCTTACGATATTTTTTATTGTTATCAAGATAAAAAACAAAATCATTTAATACATACATTTGAAAAATGATTCCAAATGGATGAATTATATTTTTTATACTCTTATTTCCTCCTATAAGCTCTGCTTTTGACTGACAGACAGCGGTCGCAAACAACAGACATCCGTTCCGGCATTTTAAATATGGCGGCATATTAAAGAAAAGGAAGGCGGAATATAATTTTTTTTATTATTTTCTTTGTTGACTTTAAATTTACGCCATAATGTTATTATTTTTAAACATTGCTAAACCTTAGGGTTACGTTTTCCTTTACATAGATAACCAACACATGTTAAACCCACTTAGGAGAATCGAACCCACGATTCGCATATTTGTAGCCGATTGTTATTATTAAGCCAATAAAATAATAATGTATTTATGGAAAAAGAATTAAAATAACAGCCTATAAATTTTCCACTGCGGGGCAAAGGCCTCCTCTGTAAGGAGGGTATGAGGGCATAGTGCGCCACGCGACCCTACTGCGGATTTGCGGAGTTCACATATTTTTCGAATTTTTCTTTTCTTATTATTTCGAAAATATGCAGGTTTTCCTTCACCGTTGAGCACGTCATAAAGTCAGCACTTAAAATTAACAATTTCATTGGTGCACGCACCGGGGATCGAACTAGTTAGTTCGAACTAGTTGGTTACTCAAGTATATTGAATTAAAGGCGAGCGATCGGGGTTTCGGTCCGAACCGCGACCTCGATGGCCCTTAGATGACACACCATACTTAAACTCACGCATGAGCACATGCGTGGCCATACCCACAGCGGAGGGCCCAAACGCGTGGGTTCTGGCTAGCCCACCGGTTCTACGTCAGATGAAGCTTTAATAGTCTCGGGACTGAAAGCACAAACATCAGTTAATTAATACAAGATAAAGAAGGCGAGCGCCCGGACATTGAGCGTGATTGCTCAGTGACCGGGTTCTGATAATAATTCCGTAAACCAGTTTTATTTATAAGTAGTTAAGTTAGTATTAAGTAGTTAAGTTATAAAAATTCGAATACGAACAAAAGTGTGTTGAATGATTGTGTTTGTTATCTGTGTACCAAACTCGTTCAGATGGGCTTGGATCATACACCTTTATTATAAGTATGTAAAATAAAAACTTTTTACAGCAAATTAAAATAATACTTTAATAATTTCTTTCTAACCAAACAACTCGGTTTAGTGATAACAAGAAGCAATTGTACCATATCATTAAAAAAACAAAATAGATTATTGTGACAACTGCGAAGCAGTTATTGTTGCAATAATTCATGCAAACAAAACAGATACGTTATCACACTTTGCAATTATTACGCTCTTATAATTTACTTTAGAGCGCCTTGTCGACATACCGCGTATATCGTGTCCGTGTGTTGCACGCAATGGCTACCAAATGGGATAACGACGAAGACTTATTGAGGTTAAGGGAATACCTGAGAATACGGAGTGTGCACCCTGACATAGATTATTGTAAGTGTTCAGACGTTGTTGCGTAAATAACCCAAGAAAAGATGTCTTTTACGTGAAAAGTTGTCAAGCGAGAAGGCTGTTTAGATGATGTTAAGTGAGTACCGCCACCCATTGACGTCTAAAACACCCGTACGGTTGCTATCTTTATCTTTTAATAGAGTGGGCCCGGTTACCTCTCACAACAGACGAAACGATGAACCATAACTTCTCCACGTCATGCCGGTCTTCTGTGGGGTCGTGGTACTTCCCCGAACGGACCTGCCATTCGTGTAACAGACTGTTGCGTGGCCCTACCACAGTTAAAATATAAAGTGCTGGTAAATATTTCTGTGTCGCAAAAATACGACCATTAGAAAATTATTTCCAAAATTAAAATAGATATTATGCAACATAAATTCACAGACCTGGCAGTTACATTTGTCATTGGTAATTTTAAATTTGTACGAAGGTAATTTTAAAATAATAATTTCTCTACTGGATTTACCTATACTGGATATACGATTGAAGTTGCTATCGTAAAAAAATGGTAATAAGATAATTTGTAGTCCAATAGTAGTTAATAGCAGTCCAGTAGTAGTCTTAATGAAGTTGTTTGGTGAACATTTAATTCAAATCTTTAGTTACAAAACTTTAGTTACACTGTTTGTTACCTTTTTAATAACGCCAACCGCAAATTAGATAGATAACGATACAGGCATTCTTAGTAATGACGGCAATCCGTACCGTAAAGAAGAACTTGATTACCAAATCCGGCAGAACGATGATGTGTTCTCTGACTTTTAAGATGACTGCGTCAAGTTTTTGAAGCAACAGGCGGACTCCCTTGGACTATCCGTAAATGTATCCGAGCCGGTGGAAAGGAAACCGGTGGTTGTGATCACATGGCAGGGTACGCAGCCCGATCTTCCGGCGATCCTTCTGAACTCACACATGGATGTGGTGCCCGTTTATGAGGTACAAATACCTTGAGAGTTAACTTGTCTTTGTTAAATTTTGGCAAAACGCAACGCCGAAAGGTATTAAATATTTTTTCCACCCTTGTCTTAACATCCTAGAGTGTCTCTGAATTGACTGGTTAACAATTTCTCGTCAAAAGGTCTATATGAACTACATTTTAAAAGTATTAAAATATATCTTGTTTATTAATCTTGAATATCCCCTATGAATTACGATAGATTATAATCTTAAAGAAGATAGAAGATAATAAAAAACAAGTCGATAAATTCAGTTTTTAACATACATTGCAAGTAAATTCATACATTCAAATCCGTCATAGGTTTCACTAGGCAGCCAAGTGAAGGAAAGACGTCGAGAATTAGACATTATTATATAAAGATGTTATTTTTTATCAATTATATGCCAAAGAAAAAGATGTAGCAACATGTAGACCTTACTATATTTTTTATCTTTGGCGCCGAAATTTCAAGTAGGTTCATTCAACTGACAACGAACAATATCACTATGTTCTTCTAAATGGTATATTACCATGCGCATAAGATATTCTAATAATGTTAAAACGTGTCAAAACATTGCATTTCACTATCGAAATTAATTAATTATATTTTGAGCGCTGTTTATTTCTTGAACACAACATTTTACATCATTTAGCATTCTTCAAAAAGCTAATTCAAAGAGATAATTTCTTTTGTCTATTTACCTAAGAAATCGATTTAATTTAAGACAAATTGGAAAAATAAACAATCAAACTCTAATTATGTGAAGTGATAATAGTAGTACCTGTTTCGCCGTATATACTAGTCCCAAGTAGGACAAGACGTGGAAGTAAGCCAGACAGAGACATGTATGCAATTGTGATTTTTGTATTTTTCTTAATTTCTGTTTACACGGCTTCGCAACCACGACCCACGCTCAAACAACCACCGTCTAATAAATCTATAAGAAACACAAGAAAACAAATCAAAGTCATAGTATAAATCTAATAATTATATATGATAAATACCGATATAAAACGTAACAACGTTTCGAGTCTATTCAGCCATTTGGTAAAGGTTTGGTCATGAGAATTCATTTTTTTTAATTCCTAACCGACATCGATGTTACGGTTCGAGTAATATAACCATCTTATGCAGGAAAACTGGAAGTATCCGCCTTTTGAAGCTCACGTAACAGACGATGGTTGGATCTACTCTCGAGGTGTTCAGGATATGAAGAGTGTGGGAATGATGCATTTGGAGGCTGTGAGGAGACTAAAACAGGCTGGCGTAAAGCTGAAAAGGACCGTGCATATAAGTTTCGTTCCAGGTAAAATCATTTTATGAGTCATATATATATATATTATTTTAACATTGCCCCTACTGTAGGATAACATTATCCTGTGTTGTAAGAACGTTTTACATACATAAATTGCACGTAGACATTTGTCTACCAGAAAACACCCAGATCCGGAAAAATTACTAGTTGGTGACACAAATAGTTGTCCCGTGTGGAAGCCGAAGTGAATCGAAGCCATGACCCCCAGCGCCGAAGTAAATACCTTGGCAACTGCGCCGCGGAGTCATCATTGAACAAAATGGTTAGCTATATTTGAATAAAATGGTTATCTATGACAGTTAACCAATTCGATTATGTTCTAAACCGCCAATGTTCTCAACCGAATTAAAAACTGGTCATTTTTGCTTATTGTATCATTATGTAAATAAATACAGTAAAGTACCAACCTGTACTATCCTACTGCTGGGCAAAGGCGCCCTCTGTAAAGGGGTTGTTAGTGCGTAGTCCATCACGTTACCCCAATGCGGATTGGCAGACTTCACACATGTCTTTGAATTTTTTTTGTTATCTTATATATAAAATTCTCGTGTCACTATGTTAGTTACCTTACTCCTCCGAAACGGCTTTACTGATTTTTACCAAATTTTATATGCATATTCAGTAAGTCTGAGAATCGGCTACTATCTATCTTTCATACCCCTACGTGATAATGGTTGTTCACCCTTAACATGTTTTTTTTTTAATTTTTGGACAAACTTTATTGTTTTTATTTTTCTATAATGTGGCATTATAAAATACATACAAACCTAAAATTTCACCCCTCTACGCAGACGTAGTCGCGGGCAGCAGCTAGTTATTTATAAAAATAACACAATATGTCTTTGATTTTTTTGAGTTATTATTTTAAAAAAATTACAATTATAAAATTAATAAATATTGAATTAAAAGCGAGCGCCCGGACACTGAGCTATATCGCTTGTATGCTATTATTTTTTCACAATCGAAAAATCAATTTAAATAATCATTCCATCCCGAGTCAACATAATGTCACAACAATCGTATATCTTAGGAATATTATATTGTTACATTAGTTGAAAGTTTCACCTTGGTAATATTAATTTCAAACTCATAATTTTTCTTGATACAGGATCAGAATTATGGTTCTTGTGGCAATGGACCCCGGCGACATAAGCAAAAGTTCCCTATTTAGGTTCCAATGGACACTATATATAATTATTTCGTTACACCTGCTGTTATGGCAATTAATGTATTTTTGATTTTTATATCTTGATGACCATATCACGAAACAGATGAAGAGATCGGTGGCACTGAGGGAATGAAAGCGTTTTCCGAATCCCAGGAGTTTCTCAAACTCAATGTTGGTTTCGCATTGGACGAGAGCATCCCAAGTGATAGCCCAAACACGTTCATAGCACACAATGGCGAGAGAACTGGTAGACGTGAGTGATTTTATGTATGTAATAAAAATGGTAAAACTATTAAAAAGCTTAATAACCCTACAACAGATACATGAGATGAATAAGATGATCAAACTAGCAGTTTACAAATCGTAATTTATCTTTCAGGGACGTAATTTATCTTTAAGGAAAGCAAAACTGTATAACCTTTTTCGATGTCCGTTTTTTAAACATTGCCCTCACTTTAGGATAACATTATCCTGTGGGTCGCAAGGTGTCCCCTGTGGGAATCGAACCCACGACCCTCGACGCCGAAGCCAATACCTTGGCAACTGCGCCACGGAGTCATCTTTTTGAGCCTTTGAAGTCAAATTAAAATTGCAAATTCTTAACGCAACTAGTGTTACTTTACCTTCTACTTCTTAATGTAATTGCTTAAGTTAAAAACGTGCAATAGAGGAACAAATTGCTCGTGCCAGTCTAGTTGTTACCAAATAATGATTTAATCCAAACTTTTGAACGCGTAAAGTAACCGTTACTCATAATCATTTATGGAAACCGTAACCGTTCTTAGCTGTTATTAAGCTTAGGTTAATTTCATTGGATGCAATGTAGTTCTAACGAAATTCTTCGTAATTATTTCTAGTCTAGATAAAAATGGAAAAAAAAATATTAATTTTCGGTAATTGCGGTAATTGTTTTGTGTTCTTAGAAATCAAAATAACGTGCAAGGGTGAGCCCGCCCACGGAGCTCTTATCGTCTCTGCCACTGCTGGGGAAAAGGTAAATTCCAGAATAGTCTCTGTATTCAACTATTTTCCGATAAAAAAACTGTTTTAACTTTGAAAATTGGTGTAACGAATCAATAACACGACAAAAATATAAGAAGTTCAGATACGCACTGAGAACATTATAAGTATGCATTCATTTATAGAATCATATATGATCAGGTAGATAAAGATACACTTATACGAGTTTACTCATGAGAGCTCCTTAAAATGTAATAACATATATGTAACGTACATATTTCTATTTGTTTGAACTTTCTTTTAGAATTTTTTCACTTTTTACAGACACATATTTAGTCGAAAAATAAATCTGAACTCTCTTTTATAATTTCAGTTTGTATTTTATTCCTACATTCAACACTTTATACTTATGTTTAGACGAAAAAATAAATCTCAATCGCTTATTATTATTACAGATCCATTATATTATTAGCAAATTTATGGAGCTTAGGGAGAGAGAAAAGAAAAAGTACGAAAGCGGTGCTCAGTTGGGAGACGTAACCACCATAAACCTAACACAACTAGGAGTAAGTAATTTATGATAACCATTAAAATGTTTATTCTGAGAAATGTGCTAATAATGAGAAGAAAAATGAGATATGACAATCTTTTATTGTTATTCTCATCACTTTTATAACTTGACATACTTTATTAAATTTTCTCAAGTAATAAGTATTCATTAAAACCTTTTAGATACATACTCGTTAATAGTGTTAATTTCGCAACGAAATTTCCTACTAAATCTACGAAGCTCTCAAAACGATAGTATGCATTTTATACTGTCAAAAAGTTACAGAGCAGCATATGCAAATCTATTTTAAATTGCATAACAAGATGTTGCGTTATGATTAGGCCGCCCATGGTTGTAATCGAATTTCATTAGAAAAGTTTTGAAATAAACCTTTCAAAACAACGCCATTTCTGCAAGACGGCATATTAAATCAAGTAGTAATCTACATACACGTTAACGATCATCAGAGTAAATCATTATTTGTTTGAGTCACGGCAAGCGAAATCAATTTCATTGTTGTTGAAAATTGGTTGTTGGGGAATCAAATTACAAATTACTTCAATATGATGAGATTGGCATTTATTGGCAACATATTTATATTTCGTCGGAAACCTAATATTTTAAAGATGGCTCGATTTTGTAATATTCACGAAGATGTTGCGTAGCCTTGCCTTTTAGATTAACAACCAGACTCTGTAAATTGCCCGGTATTTTATCTGAGTACTTGCCCGACATTTAATACTTTCGCAGGGAGGTATTCAAGTCAACGTACTACCCGAACAGTTGTCCGTATCTTTCGACATCAGAATATCACCACACGAAGATCACGACGCCTTCGAAAATATGGTACGGAATTTTTAGATCGGTCAAAACTACTTAAACTAATTGTATCTGCGCAAATTTAAACAAAAAATAACAATATATCACGAATTAAAATTTGTAGAAAAAAGTACGGCAAGTTTGTGGCCTCTGTGGTAAAATATATCACGAAATCAACGAAGCATTGGCAACAAAGTCTTTTTAAATCTTTCTATTATATATCTAATTCTTGTATGTCTATTACAGATTCTAGATTGGTGCAAGGAAGCCGGTGATAATGTTACGATGGAATATTATGTAAAGAATCCACAAGTGAAGTCAACTGATATCGGCGAAAGGTCGAACTTCTGGAAAGCGGTGCACAAAACTGTGGTTGGCATGTAAGAATACTTTAATGGTACTGCTTGCAACTGACAAATCGAATTAATGAATCAACTACCTCAGATTTGCGTGCGGGAGATATACAACAACGATAATTCCAACAAGTAAAACATTTTTATTAAAAAAAATAAAAACTACTTCAAATATCTCATGCATAGCGCATTTCTCCTTTTTTGTGAGAAGGTGACAAGCGAGCTGATGGTTCACCTAACGTTAAGTGATAACCGCCCATGGACATTTGCAACGACTCACTGGATCACCTTAATTTGGTTTTCGATTTTATTTTGTGTACTTCTTCGTCGTTCCCTCACTAATAAGGATCGTGACCATATGTAATTTGTCGCCATTTGCTTCTATTCTGCGCTAGTTCAATGGATCATTGTAGAGTTTCCTGTTGCCTCTACGATACTTCCAGCTCATGCCCACCATAAACTGCTTCCCCAGCTCATGCGTTTGTGATCGCACTATATGTCCTAAGAAACTTAGCTGACGTTCTCGGCATATAGGGGTGTCTTTTTTTGACGTGGAGCTTTTGTAAAATTGACGAGTTAGTCCTCATGGCTGTCCATGGTATTTTTAGCATTCGTCGCCAGCACCACATTTCGAAAGCACTTATTTTGTTTATGTCTAGACTTATTTTGTGTACAATAAAGAATAATAAAAAAAGTATGGTACTTCGTCGGACGGCCCTGCCCATTCGTGCAACAGCGAAGACTGTTGCGTGACTGTTTGAGGTGTTCCTGATGTATCTCCGGTGTCCAAGGTTCAATACCAATAGAATAAAAATCACTGGGCTCAACCGAACCCAATACAAAACGAATTTTTAAATCGGTTCTGAAGTAACACACATAAATAAAAATAAAACCGAATTAAGAATCACCTCGTTTTTTGAAGTCTGTTGAAAAACTGTTAGATCTATCTTAAGCTGAAATTTCCACCGATGGTACAGTAAAGTAACGTAATGTAACGTAATTGGACTCTGCATAATCCGCAGTTTTCGCAACGATTGCGATTTCACTTCGAAAGTAGGTTAAGACTATTTTGCACAATTTTGTCTTTTATTATCCTAAAAAGGCCATTAGTTCGCCCGTTTCCATATTTTGGTATGGCAACAACATGGTAATGGCAACAGAACGCCTAAGCATATACCATTATTCCAATTATTAATTGGTCATAGTGCAGCAGAGCGGGGGGTGCATAGGCGAGGCGGCACGAGTCTCACGAACGGACTAAAAATTATCGTACTGTAAAATTGTCCTTGAGTCTTGTTAGTCCAGCCAATAAGAAACCAATTATTGCAGATGTGGTACACGCAGTGACTGCCTTTCGGTTTAAGTTAAGGCACCAGCTACCATAAGCTGTCTAACATCTTTAAAGAAGAACTACCGATACGACTTACAGACCTTTATGGGAAGAACCTATTCTTTTCTGAAAGACTGGCAACTGGTATTTTACTGCAGTAGGGCCACACAGCAGCTCCTGCTGTTGCACGAATAGGCAGGCTCGTCCGAGGAAGTACCACGGCCTCACAGGAGACTGGTGTGAAGTTGCAGTATTAAAGTTTCGCATTTCGTCTGGCGATCGGGGTAACCAGAGCACATATTTTTCAAGGTTGTCAACACATCAGCATGCCATCGGATGGTAGAGATGTCCGTGGGCGGCGGTATTCACTTAACATCAGGTGAACCGCCTGCCCGCTTTAAGAATTTTCACATAATAAAAAAGAGGTATCGTTTGGTGATAGGTCAACAGATCAGCATGCTATCTGGTGGTGAAGATGTCCATGGGCGGCGGTATTCACTTAACATCAGGTGAACCGCCTGCTCGCTTGAAGAATTTTCACATAATAAAAAAGTGGCATCGTTTTGACTCCTTTGGTGTTGCAAATGTTTGTTGGTTCACAGATCCACTGCCACCTTCCCCATAACACAGTGGAAAGATTTCACTTTACACAACGCTTTCAGGGGCTTGGGCATCGAGTGCGTCATCTGTCCAGGTGTGACTGACGCACGTTACGTTCGGCTCAGGGGAATCCCCGTGATTGGATTTTCACCGCTCCTCAACACGCCGCTGTTACTTCACGCCCATAACGAAAGGGTGCACGTTGACGAGTTCAAAAGAGGAATAGACGTCATGGAGGAGGTCGTGAAAGCTGTCGCGAACGTGTAATATATAAAATCTGAGACTACAAAAGTAATATAATTTTATTTCACTCTGGCAAGGCGAATGCACTTCTAACATAGTTTTGTTTTCAATTATTCAGATATTTCAAGGATTATTGTACGAATTAGTTTAAGTGTTCCAAAAAATTTTAACTACTGATATTATTGGTTTTGTTTTATGCTCCCGTTTCAAAACCTTAAAGAATCTATAGTCACAGGCTGACTGTCGGTCTTTAAGATTTTGATTGTCAGTGAGTAGTACATATGCCCAATTTGTAAATAGGTTTATCGCGTTAATCATGTTAAATTTTACTTAAATATACATTAATATTTCATTTCTGTATCCCTACTGCTGAATATTTAGCCCTTTGGGCTACAAAGTCTTAGCACACTACGGCGCTGCATTTTGTTTAGTTAGTAAGGTAACTAAGACCATATTAAAAATATTAGTTTGTATCATTCAACGTGAAATAAAATCTCAAATATTATGCTCATCAGTGTGTATACTTGTCTAATCGTTGGTATAGATAATTTATGATACACTTTGAAGTTGATGTAGAACTTTACAAGTATCAGTTGTCTCTAACCGAGTTTAACTGAAACGTCTGATTTTGATCAGCGATCTGCTTTCCATGTTGTCTGTGTTCAATCTAGATATGGCTTGCATGGACACGATTCGCCTTTGGGACGTCAAAGTGGGCCTCCTCTCGTTGTAGTACTCCTCGATCTCTTGCAACGTCAGATCGCCCGTTTCCGGCAGAAAGAAGTAAAGGTAGATGGACCCTGGAATATTTTTACATACCCCTCTATCGGCGCAATTTTCGCAAAAAGGTGTACAAAGTTTTTGCTTCACGTATTAATATAGATTATAGGACAACTGTTTTCATTCACCACATGACATTACTCAAACGCAGCAGAATAAGGAAATATGCTTTAATTTTTACCCAACATCAATTAGTAAGCCCACAAAACATAGGTAAAAAAGTAAAAAGTAACAGCCTACACATGTCCCACTGCTGGGAAAAGGCCTCCTCTATACAGAGGGTATCAGGGCATAGTCCACCACGCGGCCCCACTGCGGATTGGCGGACTTCACATATCTTCGAAATCTTTTGTTTGTGATTATTTCGAAAATAGCAGGTTTCCTCCTTCATTGGTGCCGGCACCGGGGATCGAACTCAGGTTGCCCGAGTATATTGAATTAAAGGCGAATGCCCGGACACTGAGCTATCACGGATCCAAACCTCCACTGAGCCATCCACTGAACCATCCACTGAGCTATCAAAACATAGGTATTGTATGGTATTTGACCATAAAAGATAGTTTTTATTTTCAGTCAGTTTGACTTTACTGACAACCATGCTTTTTAAAATCACATTATAAAAAGCTTGAATAAAGATTTAATTATTAAATCATTGCATCAGAAAAAATAAAAGAGGAAAATATCTGACCTATAAAAGACGCCAGTGCGAAGCCAAGAATAACATATTTAAAACCAAGTGCGTTTTCGGCATATGGGTAACTATGGGAGACGCCAAATATTATCACGTTCAAAATGGAAATCCCTATACTTCCCAAAATGCCTCGAATCTGAAAATATTGAGCCTAAAATTAAAAAAAAAAATAAAGTTCCAAATTCAATATTCCAAGTCTTTCCATCCGGTAGATTTCCTAGGTAAACATACTGAAAATTTCTGGAACTTGTCACTTAGTTTAAAAAAAATTTAAACCGACTAAGTGCGTGTCGGACTCGCGCATCATGTGTTCCGTATGGGAGCCCCACTTAAATATTTTTTTATTGTTTTTTTTTAGCATTTGTTGTTATAGCTGCAACAGAAATATATCGTCTATGAAAATTTCAACTGTCTACGAGTAACTATCACGATTCATGACGTACTCGTACAGCCTGGTGACAGAGGGACAGACAGATAGGCGGAGTCTTAGTAATAGGGTTCTGTTTTACCCTTTGGGTACGGATCCCTGAAACGGAACTTGTGTAAGTAATTTGGATATTTTAGACGTGGACTTGATTAAATAATATGGGCACAGTCAGATGATATGGAGATTCCATGAAGATGTACGTGAAGGTCAGCCGGTGTTTGCGGTTACAGAATCCATAATATCGGATTAGTAACATCGTATGTGAACTGATTGAATTATATTAGGCATTGGAGTGAGTGAAAAACATGCTCATATTAATGAACAAAACATGCTCATATTATAATAAAACGTGCTCATATTTACATCGGAAGTTACTTTTGATTTTAGTTTTTTTTTTCATTTCACAGAGAATTAAATATCAGATTGCAAGTCTAATGTCCTGTTCACTTAAGACTTCCCTGATTGAAAAGGATAATAAAATATCCAGCAATCGTATAGGAGAACTTTCAAAACCGTGTATATTAAGAGTAACCGTAGATTTTAATTGCAAATGTTATACGAATTAACGTAGGCACAAAAGTCTGCATAGTTGTTGCGGTAATAATATTTTTTATCGATTGCATGTAGACAGTGCTTGTATTTAAGCAAATACATTTAATTAAATTAAATCGTTCCACGTGTTCCAGCGTTAGCTTTTGCTTTAAATTATCGACGTACTGAATTATTCGAAAAGATTTCGGTGGACTTACAGTTGCCTATTACACTAAATACAAAAATAAATAAAATAACTCACCCATCAGGACCAAAAAACTAAATATCCATATTTCTTAACTAATTCAAATTTTTTAATGTTTTGTCCACTCTGTTTATATTAATCAATTGAACTTTACAACTTAAACTGCTTGTAAGGCTTTATAGATAAACATCTTACTTGTAAAGGGGCCAGTTCGTATATAAATAGAATTGGAAGGTTGTAATAGCCGACGCCTGCGAATGCAATGTAGGCCATATAGCACAATTGCGGGAACACACTTTTTTCTTCCGCGTACATAAGAAACACCCAGAGTGCCAGACACACAACGCTAACGCCTAAACCTGCAGCAAAATTCAAAGAAGTTGATACCAAACCCATCCTCTACAGGTTTTTTAATAAATTTTTAGTATGAAAATACGTAGAAGAGTGGTCTTCAAGTTTACTTATTAAACACCATAAAGAAATATCGATGAATCTAGACGATTTTTTTTCTAATGTTATGTAAAAAGTTAAAGCTTATAATATATAAGGCTTTTTATTACAACGTCGTCTTGGAATATAGTTATAAAGCTACAGTAGTAGTTACTAATATAACTATTACTACTAATACTACTATGTACTCATTCAGTAATTAGTAGTATAAATATTGTATTCAACCGATATTATAACACATGAGCCTTCATATTTTATCATAGATGAAATATTGTCATGCTATCTAAACATTGTATTAAAATGTTCCTTGTTATATTTAATAATTGTCTGTGACTAAAATAACAATTCATATGTTGGAATATAAACACCTAAGTATTAGACGTAGGTACTTAGAAAAAACCTACGTGGATACGTTATGGTGCATCGCGATAGTTTATGTCAGTTTTAACATAGCCTTTCCCAAGAAAGCTAGCTTGCTTATGGGTTATAGGAAAAATAAACATCGAACTATTCTTTTGATTTTTTTTTTTTTTTTATGGAGAAAAGGGGCAAACGAGCAGGAGGCTCACCTGATGGTAAGTGATTACCGCCGCCCTTTGATTGATCTGTCGTAGATAAGGCAATGAGTATAATTAATCAGTCATATTTATATACTTTGTTATTTGCAATAGATATGGAGCTGTCTTTGGTCCGGAGCATTTTTTTTTATCGAAAATGTATGAGGAAATCACAACACTACTCTATAACGCTACTTACTTGACACCAGCGCTAAGGTTCTTCGGCCGTATTTCAAAATTAAAATTGAAAAAGCGATGCCCGACATGACGCGTGTCAAACCCATCAAAATTCCACCGATCGAAGGTTTGACACTTGAACGCGAAACCTGAAAATACAAAACTGCAATTCTTTTGGTGGTAACGTTGTGAACTGCCAAATTCAAATTCCCTAGAATAGGTCTCAAGTACGATTTTTAATCGTTAGTTCTAGCTAACAATGGTAAGGACTCGTTTTAAAATACGAGTCAACATGAGGGATACTTACTCCAGTTAGTACTCAACAACAACAATAAATTAATAAATAGATTTTCCGTTTATAGAAAAACCGCAGCAACTTATCCATCTTAACCATGTATTTATATATTTTTCGGTTTTTAATGTGGTAGGGTAGCAGGCAAGCATCTGCTTCTACTGACTGTCCCTGGGCTTAAAATGAAAGTTAAAAATGAACAACATGGTGATTGAGAAACACAACACCTGTAACATTTCAGCACCCCACATCATCATAACTGTTGTTCCACATAGCTGCGTGAATATTATATATGGCATAATAATCCAAAAGGGTTTGCACGCGGCTTTGCTAAATAATATCTTTACGCGATCCTTCAATGTTAAACTGAAAACAAAAGAAAACGTTACAATTTTGTACGTTTACCTATGTAGAATATAAATGGGTACACTTATCTCGAAAACCCGTACTTGAAGTGGAAATCAGAGAAGTCTGACAATAATGACAATAAAGAAAGGCGATTATCATAGACAAAAAAATATAATATCATAAAGCTTGGAGTCTACAATTTAGACTCAAGTTTCTGACTTGATTCAAAAATGACTCGAGTCAAGTGACTATTTCAACGTTGCGAAATACTTTGCAGTATCTATAGTTACGGGATGAACATCCAAAAAAGAGTTACAATCAATAATCTACTGAATTAATCAATATCAACCCGTGAATGGAATTATCGACTTTGTATTCCAACATTTGCTCCAGTTCTGCCTCGACATTATACGATGACGATCTGAATTTCTTCAACACTTCCAAGGTTTTCTCTGGCGTGCCATTCATGAGGACGAAATATGGGGTTTCCGGAAAGGCGAAACTGACGAAGAATAGGATGATAGTGTAGCCACCATTAACGAACGAAACCTCGTACCACTTCATTACAGACCCCATGCCTGCCTGGAAATAATCGGAAATGTTAATTGATTGTATTGACCACAATATGGCCATTGTAAATTCCCATAAGCGACAGAATGAGACAACAGGCTATGTGAGCCATTAACTTTTACATTTAAGAAGTTCTCACCTCTGGTGGGCACCAACAACCACTAAGGTTCCAACTTACGATCTCAGATCTAGACTGATCCAAAAAATTCGAACAAAAACTAACCTCAAAATTTAACATTTACTATAAAATTAAGGTCTAATTTATCCTGTGAGGGCTACAGACCTGCATCGTTAATCCAATGGAGATAGCTATTGTAGGCCACGAACCGACGACTCCGCGCATATTGGGAAGTGTGATTTCCGTCAAGTAAACCCGCGGGGCGCCAATAGCCATACCGCAGCCCACGCCAATTATAATTCTACCTGTTTTTCGTAAAAAATCTCAATAGATACTGCCCACATTTCGGCAATCATCACAAATTAAATGTGCAACCCCTTATTCTATCGGTTACTAACACTGTTGAAAGATTTAAAATTTGTGACAGTCGTTTAGTCTCGTTCTCCCATTAGCAAATTTATCCATACAAACACTGCGAGACTTTAAGGTACAGTTAGCACTTTTGGCGTAGGTCTAAAATTAATAATTTTCAAAGTAACACTTAAAAACATTCCCGTAACCCATCCCTAAACAATTTTTATTAAGAGGTTTTTTTCTGTCACAAGGTGGCAAAGGCGGTTCACCTGATGTTAAGTGATAACCGTCGCCCATTGACATTTGCAACACCCATAGGGTTACAGATGCCTTGCCGTATTTTAATTAAGTGGGCCCCGACTCATATCTCACTCACTCTCATCTCGTGGGCCATATCTCACTCACCAGACGAAACGCAGAATTACAACACTTCAACTTAACGTTGGTCTTCTTTGGTACTTACCCGAACGGACCTGCCCATTCGTGCAACAAAGAAGACTGTTGCCAGGCCTTACCACAGTTATGATCAGTGAATTATTTAAAACATACTCATTGTTTTCATTATAACAACAGATTGTCAAAAGATTTAAAAATCCATACCTATTAGTTTGACCGATATGAGGATATTATCACAACATATTGGTTATGGGGATGAAAAATAATCAATATTAGTAAATAGTTCCTTGTCATATTTATATCGACGTAATTGCAAAGTAAAATCTTAGGAATCGTAGACTCATTGACTAAAATAGAAAGGAGTTTGCGTCGAATATGTAATAAAGAATGAAATGCTAAATGAAATTTTTATAACAAACGAAAGGTGTAAGCTTTTCTCATATGGCTAAGTGGGCCTAATTAATTTCTTATAGGCTCTGGCGGTACGTAAGAATCCTTTTCAATATTTTTATCATCAATTATAATCATTCAATATCAAACAGATGAAAATTGTACCATTTAACAATAGTTATCATGACCCTATTGACCTCTTTCCTAGATCCGCACCTGTTTACATATGCATCACCAACTTGTTACTACCTATAATCAAGTCTGTGGCTGTGGTTGCAAAACCGGTGAAGATCCAGCCGACCGCCATTGGGACTTCACACAGAGTGAACATGCTTCGACGCCCTAAGCTGTCTTCAAAGTACCCGCTTATCAGACAACCGATAGCCACTGCTAAAGCCAAAATGCTTACTGAAAAAATAAACCAATATAAATCAATATTATTGATGCGTTCAACATAACCCGCTTATAAACATTCGTTAAAAATTTATACATAGTTTATTAATAGGGCAGCCAACTCATCTGCAACCCCTCACCTGAGGGGTTGCAGATGAGTTGGCAGGTGTTCATAGGCGACCGTATTCACTTCACATCAGGTGTAACCCCTGCTAACTTGTCAAATTTTCGCATATAAACCAATTAAAGTAATAGTTGAAACAATTCTCGTATAAATCCTTTTCTTTTTTTCTTTTCAAAAAGGTGTATGAAGCGATACTGCCCCAGAAAATTCGTTTGAAATTTGAAAGTAGTCGTAAAATTTGCCGGTCATAAGAACACACAAAACACAACGACACACCCACTGTAATCATTTGATTACAGTGGGGATTACAGGAAGATAATACCAAATGGTACTATGCCTATTATCTTCCTGCGAGTGCACTAAACAATACGACAAAGTTTTATCGCAATCGGAAAGATTCTAGCAGCGCCAAATAATACTGACACTATATTGCAACTAGATAAATGTAGAATATGTTGCAACGAATAATGTAATGTGGGTGTCTTCGTAATATATTACACGTAAATAAGCTTACCAATCAACGACGTGTCGGTAATTGCTGGTGTTATTTTATGGTTAATCAGATGAATTTGTGTTATATAAACTGACGAATAGCCGAAAGCGAGTCCGATAGTGACCGACGTTAGGTTTGCCAATACACCGTAGGCAAGCTGGATCATTGAGGTTTTCGTCCAAAACCCCGGATCAGGGTACAGAATTTCTGATTTGTCTGGCATGTTTCCCAAATTTTTGCATAGAAGTGGAGGAATAAAAAACAAAATTTGTTTTTGATTTTATGTAGTGCCGTTACTGTAGTACATGACTGATATATTACAAGTTAGAAAAATACAAAACGATTACTTCTTCATAAATTACAAACGATTTACTTCTTCATAAATACAACCTGACATTCTTGACAACCTAAGTATATAATATATGTATACAGTAATATCTACGGTTTCTGATATTGTCAATATCCATTCTTTTTAATGAGCTTTCATCGGCATGAAGTTTTAAATAGGATTAGCAAGAAGAGAATAATTAAAGAAGGTCATAAAATATCTATGTCATGGGCACTTAGATTTAAGAACTTTTACTGAAATTTCGTAATATCTACCAAACCCAAAGCATGAGCATCTTGTATCATAAGTTATTAATTACTATGTAAAAAAGAGTATAAATTGTTGACACTGCTACTTTATAAAAATATGATGATAAAACCAACATTATATTCAAATTATTTGACAATATAAAAATAGGATTCTATTATTACATTTAGTCTTTTTTATGTGAGAAAGTAGCAAGCGATCTGAATGTTCACCTTATGTTAAGTAAAAACCGCCGCCCAGGGACATTTGCAACACCCGTAGATTTGCATATGCGTTCCCACCTTTTAATAAAGTTCGCCCCAGCTACCTCACTCACCAGACGAAACGCAGATGTATGAAGTGTCATAGTATGAAGGGCGTGAAGTAGTAGTGACTACTTCACGCCCGTCTTGTGTGACTGTGAGGTCGTGGTACCTACCCGGACGGACCTCGTGCAACAACCGAAGCTGTGGCGTGGTCCTACCACCGTCAAACATATTATTTTTTACTGTGGTAGGGTATATTTGTTAAAGATTGGAATGTGTCAAGTGTGAGTCGAATCGGTTCTTTTCTATAACGAGGATATACTACACTAGCTGTTTTAAACATATCTCTACATTAGTGTACAAACAGACTTCCGTGTGTTATTTTATTTAAACGACAAAAAAATATGGTATGAGTGGTGCCAGATGCTAAACTATTGGCTTCGGCGCCAGATCGTGAGTTCGATTCCCACACGAGACAAGTATTTGTGTAACCCACAGATAATTTAGTGTGAGTTCCCAAACAGAGCTATTGTCAGGCAGGCAGCCGGACGTAAAAATAACCCAGTCAATACCACTAACAACATGTTTCGCATGCTGTACCGACCCGACATGGGTGAGGTGAGGGCAGGAATAAACAAAAAGAAAGATACAAATATATTAACTTTATTACATAGAGAAATTTATTACATAGTGAATCCTATCTAGTTTACCTATCCAAAAAAAGAAGTTAAAACTTGCTCTTCTTCATTTACTTCTTCCCTTTTTGGAATATCGAATTAAAAATTGTATTTTTAGTGTTATTAAATTATGTTTTAAATCGTATTTTTTTATAAGTGCTTTGTACCTAACTATCTAATCAATGTGTCAATGTATTATTTTACAATACATTTACAAATGTAACACATAGGATGAGCAGAACTTTATCATTATTTCAACCTGTTTGAGTCTATTGCTGAACTTAGGCTTCCCCCAAAGATCGTCACGAAGCACTGTCCTGAGCCACATGCATCCATCGATTTCCTACATACTTTCACAGGTCCTAAGTCCATCTACTAGGGGGTCTTTCTACGCTACGGCTGCCACTCAAGAACCTTTCTTCCCCATCGGTTACCAGTTTTCAGAGGATCAGTAAGCTAAGGCATTCCTGATCCCAAGATATCTTTCAAGACCTTCCCGATATTTTTACTTTTGCTCGACACATTATAATCATAGAAGATTATAATATTCACATACATCAATGTACTTTCACTTTTGTGATTTCTTTCTTAGATCTTATAAATTATTGTGATCTTTATTTCCTTTATTCCTCTCATGCAACATGTTGTTTTCATCACATGGCAGCAATCATTTCACAATTCACAAATTGGTGAGCCAACACCTAACGGGCAAAATGTTACCTATGAATTCAAACCCCATGTGAGATACAATATTTAAAAAGCAAGTTGGCAAAGAAACTTTACACTGTTAGATCAACAAATTTCATCTTTCAAATCAGTACAGCACAACCACTCTATGGAACCCGCTGTTGCCGGTAGTCTTTCCGAAAGGTTACAACCTAGGAACCTTAAAGAAAAGAGCAAATTCTTTGCTGAAAGGCCGGCAACGCATTTGCAAGCCTTCCGGTGTTATAGATATTCATGGGCGGCGATGATCACTATCGATCAGGTGAGGCTCCTGCTCGTTTGCCCTTTTATTCAATATCCCCATATATTGCCCCCTTATATTTCCCCCTTCCCAAATTATTCCCTAATTCAATTCAATATATTGACGACCCGATTGGCGTGGGAAGTAGTGACCATGCCTCCTGCGCCAGAGGGTGTGGGCTCAATCCCCACTACCGGAAAAATATTGTGTGCTGAACATCGTGTTTTTCCAGTGTCTAGGTGTTTATATCTGTATCATCATCATTCATCATCATTTCAGCCTGTTTTAGTCCACTGCTGAACATAGGCCTCCCCCATCTGTATAATATGTATTTATTTACACAAAGAAAAGTATGTTTAAGTATGTTTATCAGTCTTCTAGTACCCATAGTACAAGTGTTGCTTAGTTTGGGACTAAAGAACGTTGTGTAAAAAATGTGTCCGAAAAAATATATATAAAAAAAAATATTTAAAATTTAAATTATAATTCAATTAACTTTGGTCAATATAAAAATAACCTTTCGTCTCCACCACGATTGAACCAGGATTGAATTCCTTTGTAAAAGTATCATTCCGATAATAAAGAAGATCATTCTGATCAATTCAGAGTGTCTAACCATCTTTTTGGCAACTCAAATGACATTTGAAAAGCCATTGGCTTTTCAAATGTCATTTGAGTTGCTTGAGTGGCAACTGATTAGTTAACTTCTACGATGATCAGTGCTTCAGAAACCGGGCGTTAGTCTAATATATGAAAGGTCTCGTGTATTTGTTATTGGCGAACTGTGCCGTTATCATCGGAATTGATTTCTTCATCAGTTCCCTCAAGTGCATCTCCTCTTCGATGGCGGACAGTATCTGAAGCAAGGTCGATCGCGAAATGTTGCTGAACTCAATACCAGCTGCTTGCTTAATCACCTTCGTATCTGCGAAATGTCATGACTTAGTAGGGCAGTTGCTAAGCTATTGCCTTCAAAGCTGGGGGTCATGGGTTCGATCCCCACACGGGAGCTTGTTCTGAGGAAAATTTAAATATTCAACTGCGTTAGAGCCACGTAACAGCTTCGGCTGTTGCAGAAATGGGCAATAAGTGGTACTTACTCGGACGGACCTAACAGAAGACCGGCGTTAAGTGGAAGCGTCATACTTCTACGTTTCAACTGGTGACTGAAGAAGCCGGGACCACTTAATTAAAAGGCGGTAACGCTTCTGCAACCTTACGGCTGTGGCAAATGCGGTCATTACTTAACATCGGGTGAACCGCTTGCTCACTTGCCTCCATCTCACGTAAAAAAAAGGTGGCCGGCCATAAACGGCCAAAACCACTAACAACATTATTCACATTTTGTACAGACCCCAGCAAATTACCCATTTCTTTTTAAACATAGTGAATTGGAGGGAACGATATAGATAATAAGTTAGTAGTTTTGAATGCAGACTTTAGATAGTACTTAATCCTAACGCTTAATTATAATGAAAACTGTTTCTTCGAAGATCTTATGTTTGCGTATTATGAATTTTAACCAGCAATAAATTAAGTCTTCGAAATTGTATATGAAAAGGTAAGGTTAGTATTTCTAAATTAAACTTCCAATAAAACACCATCAATTGGATTTATTGTTTATTATTAATTAAAATATATTAATGATGACTAAGAGCCTTATAAACAAAATCAACCAGGGATCAAATATTTGTTAAGTGTTTACAAATTACTATTTATTATATAAATCACTAATATATATGTATGTACTTACAATTAATACAATTATTAGTTTATGTCAACTTTGTATATCATACAAAATAAAATTGCATTCACGGACATTCAAGATATTCGTAAGTCGTAACAATTTACCTGATTTGCTTGTAAAAATTTCGTCTAACGTCGCGTCCGTCCAGCCCACGCATAACACGCACAAAACATTTATCAGTAAACTCATGTTCGCTTGTATGATTTACCCATTGAAAATGTTTACATTCCGCAATAGTAAGCACCGATAAAGTTCGAGTTTCTAATGCCAAGTGATTTTATTCCCGCGATTATCGTCTACATTTGTCTAAAACCATACAAATGAAACGAGAAAATGGAGAACAATGGAAAATAAAAAAACGCCTGTGACTTTAAAAGCGGTGATGGTGTGCTACCAAATCTTTATGGGCAAAGAAAAAAAGTCCGTCAGACGTATAGATTTGAGGAGGACACGTGGATTTAGTCAGGTGGTATGACAAATACAGAGCTTTACTTTTATTTTTACATTAGTTGATATTTTTGCTTTCATCCCGTAGACTATTACAATTTCATCGAATGCAGAATTCTGGGGCTAGCCAGAACCTAAGAGCTTTAGACTGACTAAAACCTAATCTAAACTAAACAACTAAAGAATTATAAAATAGGTGACATCTACAAACAACCAATTGTAAAAAATTTCAAACATATCCTTAAAGCTCCATATCCTGAAGGCCATGTTCTAATTTATTAATCTCGAGAAATACATTGATGGATGGATGTGTGGAAATGGCTCTTGCCCTTCACTTGCATTTCTCCTGGCTTCTGCCGATATCATACCTATTTGACATGTGTTCATGCGTGCGTCTTCTATGGGAGGGAATGTCACCAACGGGCCATCGAGGTACGCTACGGACCAGGAGTGTGACCATTGATTGTATGAATTGTTGGCTGGGAACACTGTACACTTGCGTTCCAGGTTCCCGCTTTCCCGGTTCCCTGTTTGTGTTAGTTTTGGATTTCGCCGTGCTCGTAGCCGACGACAAGCTTATGTATGTTATGGTTATGTATCTTATGCAGCACATGTGTGCTGAGATAGAGATATAAGATATATAGAAATCTCTCTCTTGATAGAGACGATAGCTCTCGCTTTTAATTCAATATACTCGATCAACCGGTGCCGGCACGGATGAATTTTAATAATTGTTAATTGCTATCCTGCATAATTTCGAAATAATAATAAACACACATTTCGAAAATATGTTAAGTCTGCCGATCCGCAGTGGGGTCGCAGTACTAGGCCCTAATGCCTTCTGTATAGAGGAGGCCCAGCTTTGGGACGTGTATAGGCTGTTATTTTATGTTTACTTTCTCATTATAGTCGGGAATGTCTAGGAAAGTCTCGCCTCACACAATATCAGCGTGAATCGGAAGTCTTATACACTAAAAGTATAGGTACGAGTAAGCATTTCACTGGTAAGTGAGGTAGCCGAGGTCCAATATCTCAAAGTTGGCAACGCATCTGCAACCCCTCAAGCGTCAATGACTTAACGTCTAGTGGACCGCCTGCATGCTTACTTACTTCTCACAAGAAATTCGTCTTTTATTACTGGTGGATTGGCATACAAAGTTTTGTCGATAAATAATAAAACAACATTTATAATATTTTTGCTATATTTCATTGTTCAATATCCACCGTTGATACAGTTTTAAAATTCTAAATGCATTGTATGAATGTCATACATACATAAAACGTTTCTCTTACTCTAGCTGCCTAAAAGTGCAGAACATATTCTACTATTTCCAATAAATTAATACATTTATTTACAAATATTTCCCCTAAATGAATAAATTACAAGTGTTAAATGGCACTAAATTACAACAAGCATTATTGATCACTGTCATTGATATTGTGTTAATTGTTCTAACTACATGTTCTACGCGAAAAATTCATTTAATCTAAATACTTACTTAAAGGAAACTAATGGAGACTAAAACTATCTAAGATAACAGGATACATATAATAAGTAACTAAAGTATACTACTGACCAGCTAATCAGATTTATACTCTATTACAAATTACATGTTATATATCATAGTTTAACATGTACTTTGTAATAGAGTTGTGTTTTCTAAGGTGCACACAAATTTGCAAATGGTCGCGCGTACCCAATGTACGGGCGATAAGCTTATCACTTATCGCGCCTCGATATTATGAAAAGGATAGCGACCCTGTTTTGTCCCATTAATTATTAACAATTCCGATTACTGCCAAGGGGCGAGTGGTTTAGTCTGAGGTCATTTTGGTATTATTGCACATAAAAATCACACAAATTATTATTCTTAAGCTTAAAACATTATGAAAATATTTTTTATTTCACTACATACGTTTAATACATATTATTATAGATAGTATTTTATACTCTAAATATACATTCATTATAATACTTTTGCGCAAAATTGAAATTCGTCTCAGAAGTTCGTGCAAGCCATCGCAGTTTTGCATGAGAGTATTGCCCTCTCTTTCGCACCACATACTAAACCGCTGTCTTTCTCACTCCCCTAGACTTTAGTGTACAATTGCGAACAACGTTGCTAATCGGTTTTGTGAATATTTTTTTATTCAGTAGTAGTATTGACCAATAACGTTCTAAGACATGCACTCGATGGTACATGTGGAGAACTCATATTAACTTCATTTAGGTTTAACGCGCCCTATACTCGCTGTATTTGTAATATTTTTTAATAAAATTTTTGTATATAACCAACTCAGCCTCAAACTACACGTTTTATAATCGGCCCAGCCGATATATTTTACATAATATATTTTGTAGAATGTACATATATACATATATAACATTATATGTACTAATCTCTTTTTAAGGATCGTTAAATAAAGGCAACTTAGAGATATATCACTAAGTTTAGCACCATTGTGTTACAATAGGCAACTTATCTAGAAAATATTTATAAAATCTCCAAAAATTATTTGCGTCCAGTACCGGCGTATGAAATCAAACAATAAAATCGTTATAAAATGACTGTACGCCACGAATTATAAAGTTTTCGCTCCTAGAACGATTCTAATAACTCCTCTTACAACCCACAAAAGAAACAAACTTTTGCGTTGTTCGGATCTAAAATTTATAATATGTTTATATTCATTACGATTTACCTAATTTTTCTTGAGGGCCATTCTCTCTGAAAAATATAAATCTCAAATGCAAAAAAAATCATTTTATGCACTTATCATAGAGACTGTACTTATCTTTTGAGGGGGAAATTAAACCCCCACAGACAGTTGAATATTCACGGCAGTTCCGTCTGAGTGTCGTTCTTCTTCAGAGATTTAGTTCGTCCGCAGAAATAGTCCTCTATCTCCTGCAGAGTTCTCCCTTTCGTCTCCGGTAAAAATATGTAGAAGAAAACTATTCCTGAAATTGAAAAAGAAAGATTAGTAAAATAGTGATAGTGAAAATAGTAAATAATAAAGAATAGTGATAATGAAAATGTCGATGAGATTTAAATTTTAAGATAATTCTTGTAGAATAGCATAATTTTTAAAAGTTGCATTTTAGTGAATGCACTTTGTGATGTAGGTGCATTTGCGTTCTGTTAACATAATATTTAATAATTATTTTAATAAAAACAATACATTAATTCCTTTTTTTTTTAAATCCTATCAATAAAATTTCGAAATATTGAATTTGTTAATGACACTTGTATTTTATTTCCTATATTCTAAATAAAATCAATGATTCGTTCGCTTTGCAATACAATTTATTTTTTTTAATTTGTCGTATTCCCTTTAATTTCTAGTTAGTTCCATACACTCACCGGCCAGCGACATGGTGCCGTACAAAGCGAAGGCGCCGTAGTCGTTCAGCGACGCCTTTAGGAAGGGGAAGGTTTTCACCACGGAGAAGACGGACAGGTGGGCCGCGCAAGTGGTCAGGCCGCCGACGATACCACGCACCTGCAAGGACAGAATACGGACAGCTTGATGAAACCGCAAGAAAGTCAGTGCAGGTCATTCGGCAAGGCCCTACCAACAATATCAGGCGTAAACAACAATACCAGTTACCTATAACAATACCGACGGTTTGATGAAACTACACGAAATTTAGCGCAGGTCATTCGGTAAGACTCTACCAACAATATCAGGCGTATACAACAATACCAGTTACCTATAACAATACCGACGTTTTGATGAAACTACACGAAATTTAGCGCAGGTCATTCGGTAAGACTCTATCAACAATATCAGGTATCTACAAAAACACCAGGCACCTACAACAATACCAACGGTTTGATGAAACTACACGAAAATTAGCGCAGGTCATTCGGTAAGACTATACCAACAATATCAGGCATTTACAAAAATACCAGGCACCTACAACAATACCAACGGTTTGATGAAACTACACGAAAATTAGCGCAGGTCATTCGGTAAGACTCTACCAACAATATCAGGCATTTACAAAAATACCAGGCACCTACAACAATACCAACGGTTTGATGAAACTACACGAAAATCAGCGCAGGTCATTCGGCAAGGCTCTACCAACAATATCACGCACCTACAACAATCCTGACAGTTTGCCGAAACTGCACAAAAGCCAGTGCTTTTTTAAAAGAAGATGGCAATTCAGCTTGCGGTTTACCTACACACTGCACCCGTAGGGTTACCAGCTTTCAATAAAGTGGGCCCCGGCTACCTCAACAGGCGAAACGCAGAAATGTAACACTTCCACTCCACGCCGGCCTTCTGTGAGGTCGTGGTATTTCCCCAGATAGCGATGTATACGAACATATAAGTATTTTAAAACAGAAAAAGAAATTAAGCAGTGAGACGCGTTAGTGTGCAGCGTAAATGTACACTAACACTACTAGTAAAACACCATATAAAAACAATAAAAATGATTAATCCCCGGTTCCTATATTCGACGAACGGCCGTTATTTACATAGCTTAGTAACTTTCATAACGACTTGTAGTTTAAAAGAACGCTAAACTCACTTTCCGTAGGCAATGCAACGGCTCGTAAGGAGAACGCCACGTTTTGTTAATATAGGAAACATGCTTACAAGCGTTTTATCTAAAGTCGTTATGAAAGTTACGAAGCTATGTAACTAACAGCCATTCGTTAAATATAGGAACCGGGTATAAATCTGAGCTATATTAGTGATAATATTCCCCGCTAAAATTTGGCAAGTACCGGACTAGAACTGAAGGGTACAGAAGGTTAACTTCATAGATAAAATGCAACATACCTGTGTGGGATAGACTTCGCCGATCATGACCCAGGGCACGATGAGGTAGCCGAGGGTGCAGGCGATCATGAACAGGTAGATGCTGGCCACCGGGATCCAGCAGTTGGTGGGCTGCAGCCCGTTCTCCTTCCAGTAGTGAACGTGGTACATGTACACCGAGAGGACTATCATCGTGGAACCGCATCCGATGGCTGAAACGTTAGACGAATTTTCGAATTTTCATACACTCCAGACAATCTGTCCATACAAATCCTACCAACTTAGAGGTTTGGTAGGATGTTGGTTTTTCTGCTAGCAAGGACTGTGCATCTACTGACTTACCTGATACAAATGTCAGCAACCTCCTTCCGCACTTTCTGCACAGAATGCAACCCACCACTGTGAAGATCACCCGTATTATGCCCATGGATATCGTCAGCCAGTATTTATCGAGCGTGGCGCCAGATGCCTAAAAAGGTTGAGAGTAAAGATATTTTTGTTTTTCAAAGGTTAAGTACAATAACACACCAATACGAGAGAAACAAGTCTTAAGTAGACTTCGCATGTCTTCGAAATATTTTTTTTGTTATTTGTTTAGAAATCTTCGATTAAATATTACTTTTCTTCTCATAGTAAGTACAACTGCACAAGTAGACTGACAGATGAAGCTAAGTCTGTATGAAGATAGGCACATGTTTAAAGATTTTCTAATATTTGAAAACTAAACGAAGATTGTACGAGCCTCGTTTAGTTTACAAATGTAACAGACTTATGCAGAGAGGTTTTTCAATATCAAAAAACTATTTAGACTTGATTCTAAAATCAAACAAAGGTAAACTCGATCAGATAGAGAAAAAAATATTTATACATTTAATTCACTCAAGAGCTGGATCAAATCTCCCAGTATTTCACATAAAGTAGACACTGTGACACACACGCGTGCACACCACTCTTTAATTATTACTTTCCGTTTAATATATATTTCTGTACTTTTATTTTCAATTTAAGGTTCTTTGGCGAGATGACCTGGTGCACTAGTGCATTGTATGAATGAATGAATGAATGAATATACTTTATTGCATTTAAGGTTTTTCAATATTGCAAGCACAAGCAATCTACAACAAGTAAGTGTAAGGCTCTAAGCGAAGATGTTAATTAATAACTTTATTGTTAGGCTGTCAGATCTGGTGAGAAATAAATAATTTATTGCTCATCGTTATTATATACTCTGTGGTCTCACCTCGAACACTTCCACGGCGTAAAACGTGATCGTGTTCACTCCGCACCACTGGTATATGAAGAAGTAGATAGCCAGGATAGCGAAGGGCTTGAGAGCGGACGGTGCCATCAGCGCTTTTAGGATGTCCTTAGGTGTTTTAAGTCTGCAAAAAAATTAAAGTATCATCCTTTATGTCCTGCTGGGGAGAGGCCTTCTCTGTAAGGGTATTAAGGCATAGTTCACGAGAATCCTCTGCGGTTTGGCAGATTTTTTTTTTATTATTATTACGAAAATATTCAAGTTTCCTCAGCAGTGAATTTTTATCAAATTATTCATTCAAACTGTATTCATATTCAACTACTTATACGTATAGCCTCACGGTGTAGAGAATTATATGTTGCAGTTATACACTTCGTACTTGTAACTTATACAATTACCATATTTACAACAAAAAGCACTACTTGGTCGTAAATGACCCAACAGCTTTACTGATCAATGATTACCGTTAATTATAGCATTATGTACGAATAATATAATCGAACACAGTCAGTTAGTTATGTAGGGTAAACGGATGTATGGTCCTTTAAGTATAAGTATTAGTTATGCGATCTTATTCTTAATTATTCTTAAACGTGGCTCCGACATCCTATTCTATCTCAATGTTTTTGTTCCGAGATAATTATACTTTGAGCAATATACAGCGTGTCGTTACAACCGCGACAATAAATGACCACACGTCTTACGCCTCTTGCCAATAATTATAAAAAAAAATATAAACGTTAAAAAATCGATAATTGAAAAAAAAATTCAAACAAACTAATAAAATAAAAAAGAAACAAAATTTTTAACATCCTATACAACTACAACTGACTGTTTCATACATTCAGAGACTTTATCATTCGTTGCCACAGCGTCGCATTACAAATCTCTCCTTCTAACAGTATGTTTTATCTCTTTTAAATTCATTCAACCCATTCATATGCTTTGTGACCTTTACAAATGAACTTAACGTTTTATACGTAAGGATGTTCTAAAATTATTTGTTTTGGAAAATGTAATAACTCGGTAAATATTGATGTTTAAAGAATGTTAATCTTTAACACAATTTTTAAAAATTATCCCCTATATGTGTGTTCATTTATTTTCGCGGTTGTAACGACACACTGTATATTATATAGTATCAGATAACTACGGTTGCCAGTGGACTCCAAAATATTCTAGTACCATTTGACTTAATTTAAGGTATTCATAGCATGCATATAAGGTCACCTTATTAACAGTCTTCCTTATGCAAGTGTAACAATTTTGTTAAGTTTGCCTTTAAAGCATTCTGGTAGGTCAATGCAACAATCTTCGCTGTTGCAAGAATGGGCAGGTCCGTCTAGGTAAGTATGACCTCACAGAAGACCGGCGGGAAGTGAAAGTGTTATACTTCTGCGTCTCGTCTGGTGTGTGAGATAGCCGGGGCCCAATTTATTAAAAGGTGGCAACGAATCTGCAACCCTACGGGTGTTGCAAACGTCAATGACTTAACATCAGGTGAACAGCTCTATTGCTACCCAACAAAAAAGTATACTTCACTTACGGCTCGACATGGTTCTTCTCTTTGAAAGCGATCATCCTCTGGATCTCCTCTTCGAGGTTGCAGGTCGAACCCCTCAGCTTCACCAAAGAGCTCTCGGCTCTCTCCCGCTTGTCTTGAGTGAGAAGGAAGTTGGGGGTCTCTGGTATTAACAGCATGCCCAGCAGAGATATAATCGGTATAATGGCACTGGCCCCTGCCAGGATATTCCAAGAGGTCACGCTACCAATCACGTACTGCAATCGGATGGACGTAGAAATGTAGACAATCGGTACATAAATTCCTTAGGAGTTAAGTATTAAGTACAACAAAGATTGTCTTTAAATAAAAAGATGCGAAAGGGTATTGTTTTTATGATCTATTCACAAATTTAAGTGACCACTTCATTTGAGACAACGGCAGTTGAAAAAATTTTTTGTCATTCATTAATAATAATAATAATATGCTTTAATGTACACCAAAAAAGAAAAAAGTACAGAACTAAACAAAATATTTATCAAATATTGGTCATCAAAAGGCGACCTTATTGCTACACAGCAATTTCTTCCAGGCAACCTCAGAAATGAATCAAAAGAAATTCTTATTGGGTAGGATGTACATGAAATTAAGTAAAAAGTTAAGTTATTATATTTAAAAAGATAAAAATAAAACTATAGAAGTTAAGGATTCAATGAAATATAGGTTTTCAGATAATGATTGGCGTTGGATACAATATTGAATAATTTGACATTATTCAATATTATTGAACATATTGAATGTAATTCTTTTGTATGCAAATCGTTCTCAAAAAATTTACGTCCATATGTCCTTATATTTGTAACTGTCGGCTATGTTAGTCTTGAATATTCGTATAAAATCTATTACTACACTTCACGTTCTAAAAATTAGTGTACAAGAAATTGAACAGTGTTCCACTTTTAAGGTTGAATATTCTGATTATGACGAAATTATAAAACTTTCCTCAAAAAATGTATTCTTTATAATTTCAGTCGTTAATCTTAATCGAAGTTAAAAAGGTAAATAATAAAGATAATAGCTAATGCCCGGTTCTTATATTCAACGAACGGCCGTTGGTTACATAATTTCGTAATTTTCATAACGTCTCGTTGTAACGACTTCATAATGACAATATAACTAACGGCCGTTCGTTGAATATAGGAACTGGGATTTAGTCAATAGCGGATCAAACCCACATTGATAGGAAGCATAACCCTTTTACTGAAAACTTCGTTTTTCCCCGTCCTAACTTTAGCTCGCCAGATAAAGAGAGGTGATTTTTGCTTTCATTCTTATCATTGTCTGCTGGCGAAAACTCCATCGCGGTTTTTTTACTCTCAATCAATTACCTCTATCTGAACATAACATATTTTTCCCGAAGACAAATATTGTCAGGGCTAATCACCGCACAACAGCGTCTTGTTCAAATAAAGCGAAATCGTGGATGAGAAGGTTGTATATAAAATTAGCGAGCCTTATCACGCGACCATTATATCGTGACGTAACGCTCAATCAACAGCACTTGTTGTTGGCGGATTGTTTTCGTTGGCCGCTGAGGGAGATCTAATTTCGCAGCTATCAACGTTTGCGAACCAATTATCGATTATCGCCCAGTCACGGTGTATTGTAACGAGACAGTTCGCGACTGGTCATATCATCTTAGTAACAGCAAATCTGAATTCAGTTTTACTTTAATTTTTCGATCCGGTAATACAAAATAGGTTAAGGTAGTTCAGGACAAACGTAGTTACATGATTGAATTTCACAATTATGATATACAGTCACGCAATTACTTCACACATTTATGAAATTCAGTAATAATTATGATAGTTTCGAGTTTGCTGTTATTAGATAGGAAAAATTAAAGACATCTTATATATACCAAAATTATTCAAGGTCACTCTTATCATACGTACAACCAACTATGATACTTAAAGTGCTTATAGAAAATCATTTATGCTTGACAACAAATGTGACACCATCATCATTTAAATCTTCAAAAGTCCTCTGCTAAAAACAGGATTCATCTAAAAGACCTCCACTTTTTAATCCTGGTCCTTTTCCATATCTTGTTTACATATAATTTACAGATCAGTGAATTCTAATCCAGCAACTAGCCTATCATCATCATAATTTCAGCCTGTTTGAGTCCACTGCTGAACATAGGCCTCCCCCATAAACTAGCCTAACTATAAACTAATATCTAAAAATCATATGTTTTCGCTAAAGTTATTAAATTTACAAATGCCGAATGCTATTTTCGAGCCTTTTCTGTATATAAAACGAGCTGAAGACAACGTTTATTTGGTGTGGACATTTTCAATAGAACTGGAAAGCCTGTGGCGTGAAACCTTTTGTTATCAACTAATAGCTGTCATGCTCCTGGAATTAGCATATGTTGTGACGTCAAATTTGTGACACACGCGTATTCAAAATGGTAAACTGTTGTCAACTTATTTAGCATTCCAGCTAATCGGTTGTCCCAGATGGACCGGTTATAGCACAAGGTTATCATACTATTGTATTTGTGACTTTTCTAAGTTTATTATTCAGTTATTTCCATTTTGCCGTTTAATTTAAAGTCTTTTCAATTTATTTACTTCATTAACAAAACCAATATGTACAATTGCTTGTACAGTTGTTTTTAGTTTTTCTGTCTCAACTATATATTCACCTCAGTAACAAACAGTGTGTAAAGTATGTAGACTCCAAATATAAGGAGACTTCTTTCCGACTTTTGTAATACTTGATTTATTTATAAAAAAAAACTGTTTAATTTCACCAATCGAACAGAAATGAATGCAAAAAAAAAACTACAAAATTAATTAATATAACAAAATTCAAAAAAACGTCACAAAATTAAAGTAAAACACATTATTTTACAACCTCACAAATTTCCTATCACAGGGCATTTAATAACATGTGTAATCTATACAGCTAAATAAAATTGGAGTGTCTGTTTGTAATATTAAAATAACCGCTTTTTACTAAATGCATATGGATGTATACACGGTACATATACCAAAATAACATTTTTTTTAATTTTTGTCTGTCTGTCTGTTTGTTCCGGCTAATCTCTGGAACGGCTGGACCGATTTGGACGGCACTTTCACTGACATATAGCTAAGGACTAACATAGACTTTTATTTTAGAATTTTTTTATTTTAAATTCCACGCGGATGAAGTCGCGGGCACAGCTAGTTTACTTATATAAGCTAACGATATTTAAAAATAGAAATATTGCTAGATTATTAATTAGAATTAAATTACCAAATATATTAGTGACAAGGATTCTATTCAGCAATACGAGCAGTTGTGTTGACCTTCCGGGAACTTAGTTGAAAACTAAGTGACTCTACACAACATCTGACGTCACAAACGATCCTTAACTTATTTATATTAATTCGACTCCATGATGCGATTTAATTTCCGATTTGTAGCTTGACCGCCAGACAATGCCGAAGGCGTAAACGCCGCTTAAATACATTGTACACATTATGTACTTGTGCAAATAACCTTATGTAATTGTGAATGTCGATTACACAAATAAACGAGATAGATATATTTAAATAGTCGTACCTGGATCAGTACTCCCGTAGACACCCCTACGGACGCAAGGGCCCCCAGCATGCCTCGCAAATGAGGCTGCGCTACCTCGCAGGTGTATACCCTGGCGGGAGCACCGACCATACCAGAGCCAAAACCGATCAGTAACCTACCTGCAAAACGAAGATAATCGAATGATTTTTATGTTAGTTTTTTGGGCGCTAAATTTACCATTAGCACCCTCGATTTCAAAGTCTCTAAAATGCAGCCTGTGGCAGGGGCTCTGCGATTGCAATATTAAGCGGGCTCGTACGAAAATGTAACATTGATTGACTAGTATGAAGTATTATACTTGAACGGTATACCTCTCGACGATGAAGCATAAAGCTAACGGAATCGGGAAACCGCAAATCGGGAAAGAAGACCTTTAAAGTTTATTGAGACAAGTCTATATCACGATGAATTTATATCAACGATGACAAAGTCACCAGCATACCTATATAGATCATTGGGACGTTCTGCGCCACTGATATTAGGATCCATCCAAGGATGAGAGGCACTTCGGTGATGATGAGGGTCCGCCTTCTCCCAATTGAGTCCATGAGGTAGCCACTGAGGATGCATCCTATCGGAGTGCCCGCCGCGCTAAGACTAGCTGAAACGATGTAATTTTGTGTGAGTCAGATATCATTTTGTACTTTCTTTAATAAAAACGTAGTGTTCGAAAATGTTTGAGAAATAATCACACATAAGTACACCTATTAAAACACTTTTAAGATTTTAACTGAAGAGCGTCTAATAAATACATCATTGACTTCGTTCGATTCATCCCCTTATTTTTGGTTATCATTATTTATATATCTTTTTTATACACCTATTTTTGTATGTTATAATTATTTAGTTATTACTTAATAATATGTATGCCTATATGCGTATGCATTATGACAAATACTACTTATATACTACTTTCCATCATCCGACTACTATCTACTTTCCATGGTGACCAGAGTTGACTATACAATGCCACTAGGCATTAAATTAAATCCATACATTATACCCCTAGCGGTGTCAGAAATGAAGTATAAATAAATGAAAAAATGAATAAGACTTTATCTTAAGGACTTCTTCTTGCTTCCAAGGAAAACATATTCCTAATGAGCATTTATCGTGGCAATTAAACCTAGCCGAGAGTTAAGTGTTGTTTCAACTTAAAGGAGTCTTAAGAAATACTATTATGAAAAAAATAATACTGAACATAATCATCGTCCGAGGCAGGAATATTTATTGACAATAAGAGTATTTGTGCTATTAATATACACTTTGTTGCTAAACTTATCGGCGACGTAAGTGAACCCAACAGGTCTCAGTCAACCATATTTAAGTATGGTACTATTGATATATTTCAGAGCAATGACCGATAAGGCAAACAATCAAATGTAGAAGAAAGTCTTAATAACGTACGCATAGGCAACAGTATGTTACTCTTAGCAAATTAATTGGTAATTTCTTTTTAAATTTCAAATGTTACAACCTCCAAAATATTTTATGCGAGTGTGTCATAAACGAAATAACTAATTACTTTAGTACGCAACGGTTGCTAAGTTACTTTGGCCGCATAATGAGAAGAGGAGACGAAAACTTGGAAAGGTTGATCTTTGATGGAAACACTGAAGGCAAAAGATCACGTGATCAGCAAGATGGACTGACCAGCCCAAAGACACAGAACTCGGAATTCTACGATGAAGACCGGAATCGATGGAGAGATACCATTCGTGGTCGAACGACGACCACCGACCACGATCATCAGACATGATGGCACGACCAGAAAGCTTAGTGTTACTGATGACTCCGTGGCGCAGTTGCCAAGGTATTGGCTTCGGCGTCGGGGGTCGTGCGTACTTTAGACATTACGATTAATCAGGACTTGAGATCTATTCTGAGATCTTGAGATTGCTTTATCTCCTCTTAAAGGGTAACCAACCGTCGTGGCTGTTGCCGTAACCCTAGCAGTGGCCCTACCACTCAACTCTGAAGGGGCCACACAACAGCTTCGACTGTTGCACGAATGGGCAGTTCCGTCGGGGTATGTACCACGACCACACAGAGGATTGGCGTTGAAGTGTAAGTGTCATACTTCTACGTATCGTCTGGTGGGTGAGGTTGCCAAAGCCCACGTCATTAAAAGGTGGCAACGCGTCACGCAAACCTACGGGTTTTGCAAATATCCATGGGCGGCGGATATCACTTAACATCAGGTGAAACGCCAGCTCCCTTGCCACCTTCTCACAAAAAAAGGGAATGTAATCACACAGATGAGCCAGTTATCTACGCTAATTTCGTAGACTTCATGTTTTCTCCATTTTATTTTTAATAAATAATCGAATTTCTGTGCTATTCAATTATTACTATTTATATTCAATAGCATTGCTGCACAACTAAACGGAAATAATGAAGACATAAAACCATTTAAAATAATTTTAAATAACACATAGTCGGGACTAGAGCGTAAACAGAATGCAGTTCTGCGTAATTATGCTAAAGCTTGTTGGCCAAGTGATTCCCATAACTTGAAGTTTCAAATGAAGCAAATTACATTCTATTTTGTTTCTTTTTTCTAACACTCTAGCCTTATTATACTCTATAATAACTAGCACGACTCACCTATCCAGCTGGCTTGATCTTCAGATATATGAATACTGGAATCCGGGCTTTTGAGTTGAGGCAGCGCAGTGGCAGAGAAGCCAAAAGCCATGCCCGTGTTCATAGTGCCAATGTTGGCGATGAAAGACGCCAGGACCTGCCTGAACGCCTTGCCCCGGCCAGCCTTGCCGGTCTTCTGGGCAGTCTGCGGGACTGGGGTCTTTGTGATGACCACGTTGTTGCCATTCTTAATGAACGGCGCGGTTTCATTCCTGGTTAAAAAATTGCAAATTATGAAAAAAAAAATATAACTACTATTGGTTGCCAACATTTATTCGGCTAATTATAGTAGGTTTTCACAGTATTGAAATATCCGTGAAAAAGATATACTATTTTGGATAAAGTATAAAAACACGAATATACATTTATTTGTGTAAAAACTATGTATTTGCATTTCTTGCAACATTGATTCAACCAAGTAAGAAATATAGTACTTTTGGGTACTGTATATTTCTTCACTGTAAGTACAAGCCCTTAATTTTGTCTTATATTGAGATTTTATTCAAACCTTTAAGATTCTGTTGTGGTACATCGATTATACTTTGCCTCCGTAAAAAGCTGTTGAACTTTTAAACAATAAGAAAATGATATCTTTTTTATTATACGAAGTTGGAGACATTTAAAACTCCCGATAACAATAAGTCATAAGAGATTATTTATGATTCAGATTAATTAAATATGTATCTAAATTATGATATTTAAAGAAAGTATATAAATAAATAGATAACACGAACACTCATTACGTACGTATAACATAAACAGTAGCAAATAGTCGTATCCTCGTTTGGCCAGTGCGTTTATTGAATAATTCATTAAGAAATTTAAGGAGGTTATTGTAACCGGGAACACGTCCAGTCAGGGTTATCAGTGTTTAGTGAGAATGGGCTACATTTGACCTTATGCGCATGGCATGCGTTTCTCAAAGAGTTTTTGTGAAAATAATTCATTACACGTTTCAATTCAGAATAAAACATAGGCTATAAATTATATACATGTTTTTATCTGAATGTTATATACATATTTTTGTCTTTCTGTCTGAATGTTACGCCTTCAGCCTATTCTACATAGTAGTCTAGTTCAGACGTAGTCGTGTCTAGTTGCTGTAACTAGTATAATATACTGGTGCGCTGTGTATTACATACAACATACAGTTATTCGTCAAATTCTAATAATGGGTGGTGGCTATATTAAATATTATTATGTTTCCTATCCAATTCTATTTTAATTGTATAATTTCGTTAGCGATAAAGATGTACATAATTTGGGTAGTATATAGTAACGAACGCAGTAGGAGGCCTCAAATGTCGCATATCTAAGTCTAAGAAATAGTGTAATGGGCATGGCAAAATACCCTTAAAATTAGTGATTATTATGAATTTTTTTTGGGCTTGAACAATTTTTAAGTAAACTTTGAGAAGCGATGAAGGAAGAACATATGTGCTTGTAATACTGGATGCTATTTAAATATTTAGCATCTATTTGGCAGGAGAATGATTCATCAGTTTTAAATTTAGCGCTTGATAATAAAAATTTTAATCAATTAAAAATAGTAACGTGAATATCCGTCACTTGATCGCATATCATTAATGTTTTTAATTATGTAAACGGATCAATTTTATTATGTCACATTTTGTTAAGTAACATGTAATGTTTGTAATTCTTTTCGCGTCTTCGGTTAACAGACTAAACGAATACCAATTTTTTCATCAAACTTTAGTATTAGACATATCTTATTGTAGAGATTTTTAATTACAAACTAAGTTCTTTTCAGTTTATATAAATAAAGCTGCGCATTGTATTATTCAACGAAAAATCAAGAAAACGCAAAGTGCTCACAATTATTTGCTAATGTATTCCATCGCAGTTGCGTTTCAAAACGATGCAGGAGTGTAACATTTTTAAGGATAAAACCCGAAAGACGGGAAACTTGTTAGTGTTGGCTTCTAACATTTTCAACAATTCAAGAATCCTTCGACAAATAATTTCAAATTCAATAGATTTGAACTTGTTTGTCGCGCCATTCGGCAAGGTTGCTACAGTTGTGAACATGAAATTGAATCGGACGTGCATCATTGTAAGATACATCGAAGGAAATGGTCGATGTTTATGTTGAAAACCGTGAACTGTTATCCTTAAGCTATTATTCAGTTGTAATGTTTCGAATAAGGCTAACGGTCACGACTGACTTTGAAATGAACTAAGTAACGAAATTACCAATTAAATAAGCAAACTAAGAATTTATTCTTAAGTTTTATTTTAAACAGGATCAGATAGACACAAATGATTATAAATCTAGGACAGATATTTCTTTTTCATATGACTCTTTTAGTCATACTCCTTTATCTGTGTCATAAGTATGTATTTACTATTATATTTCCTTAATAAATAAAACATTTATATATAAATTTATTAATATCCATGTTTCACTGAATTTATTTAATTAAAAAATCGATTAAAGAAAAAAAAACCTCAATCAAAGGCTTCAAATCAAAGGCAAATAAATATCTTGTTGTGAACTGAAAAGAAAAAAATGCTAATATTAATAACGCCGCACTCGCGACCAGTTTACCTTTCATACATATTGCTTACACCGTGTTTGCGCGTGTAATAAAGCCGAGATAAAACATAAGTAATTAACCAGCGAGTTTGCTTAGTGCCCCGTATTTGCATTACTTACTCAATACATGTGACCATGGCATACAGTGATAAACTGCATAGAGACAGACATGAACCCACATAGCATATGATATTAAAAAAATAAGGACAATTAAGTCAAACTATTACCCACCGAGACTCTTGTACAATAAAATAAAATGAAACCGCAAGCGTTGCTGGCCTTCTGTCCGTCTGTCCCTATGTATGCTTAGATCTTTAAAACTACGCAACGGATCTTGATGCGGTTTTTTTTTAGATAGAGTGATTCAAGAGGAAGGTTTATATGTATAACGCATTGCACCCGTGCGAAGCCGGGGCGGGGTCGCTAGTTGGTGATAAATAATAAAGGAGCCAGAAAGAAACTCCTTCTTGGAAGTCCCTAAACTTGCGGAAATATTATTGCTTAAGTGTGAGTCTACACAAGCCACAATCCTGAGCTACCTGCATCCATCACTATTACTGTTAGTAATGGGATTCATATCCTAGTATAAAATTTATATCATCTCAAAAGCATCTAAAAGTAAAATAGTAAAGTAACAGCCTATACATGTCCCACTGCTGGGCAAAGGCCTCCTCTATACTGAGGGTATCAGGGCATAGTCCACCACGCGGCCCCACTGCGGATTGGCGGACTTCACATATCTTCGAAATATTTTTTGTTATTATTTCGAAAATATGCAGGTTTCCTCACGATGTTTTCCTTCACCGCGGAGCACGTGATAAGTCAGCACTTAAAGTTAAAAACTTCATTGGTGCCGGCACCGGGGATCGAACTCAGGTTGCTCGAGTATATTGAATTAAAGGCGAGCGCCCGGACACTGAGCTATCACGGCTCAAAAGCATCTAAACTGATCTCATAATGTAACTAAATATAACTAAGTAAATTTTTTAAGGAGGTTAGGTGACTACCACCGTTCATGGCCATTTATCACCCGTAACATTACAGTTTCCTTACGTTTTGAGAGGATGGGACCGTATTTCGGTTTACAGAGTTTATTTCCCAATAAAAAGAGAAAACTTAAAAATAGGTTGAGTTCGATCTAGCGTAGTTACAAAACAGTTATCTACAAGAATCAGTCATTAATAAGGTACATCATCAATCTATGTTTAACGGCATATATGTAGTTGATGACTCCGTGGTTGGACTTGGCAGTCGCCAAGGTATGGGCTTCGGCGTCAGGGTTTGTGGGTTCGGTTTCCACACGGGACAACTATTTGTGTGACACACAGACAGCTGTTTCGCATTGTTGCATTAAATTTATGTTTGTAATACGTCCTTAGAACACAGGATAATGTTATCGTAAAGTAAGGGCAATGTTTTTAATAAAATAAAAAAACAGAAAAAAGTTGAACTCCATTCTACTGTATATTAGTTAGTATTTTTATTATTAATGTCCATGTGAGATACGTGTAAAGGTTGTTTAGGTTTAGCAATTAAGTTTAACCATGAATTTCTTTGGTCGGATTTGAAATTAAATAGTATTTTATTTGATTTTATTTTGTGTGAATTGCAAGTCCTGTTGCAGGTATTGCGATTGGTAGTAGCGGCATGCCCCCAAAACTGGATGAGGTGCAGTTTGACTAAAGTACCTATTATACATTGTATGACGCAATTTCAATGGTATGTATTTAGAAATATTTCGCAAAACTCCAGTTAATGAAAGTTATTTTGATTTAACATGTTCAACGTCTGGTCTGAAAGTCAGTCTGCTAACTAAGATCAAACTTAAGTACTTCTCCTGATTTCATCTCAGAATCAGTTGGTTATTTACAGTCAGGGGCGAGATAACAGGAGTATTTTTGTTTTTAGCAGAAAATATTACGTTTGACTTTTTTGCTTTAACCAGATATTTAATTTACCGAGGTCCCGTTGAGCTTAATATAAAATGACAAAGTATAAATTATTCTATATTCTATTGCACTTCTTTGACACTTCAGTGTAAAAACTAGACCCCTTTTTAATTTGATTAAATTAAAATGTTAACATAACGAAGCAATTCATTGATAGTTACTTAAAACCTTCAACAAAAGGTCATTCCACCTTCAGCGCCAATCGTCCGTCGCACGGAGACAATTCCACAACTAGTAGTCATCAAAGCCCGGAAGCGACAGAAATTCAGAAAAGATGATTATTCCCAATTGGGTCGATTATTCAAACCTTGCGGCGTTCGTAAGGAACAATATCCTACGAAGCTGTTCACTGTCAAACAACAACCAACCTGTTGAAGTTTTGTGCTCAGATAAAATCATATTTAATAATAATAATAAAGGTAAGCTGAACAAATAGTAGACTACAAAAACATCATTTTACAATATTAAACACAATACGTACTTCTGCAAGTCCTTTCACGTTTGCATAGTGAACCCTGCACTAGGTTAGCAAGCTAAGAATTAGCAAATTATGAAGTGTGCGAGTGTTACAAGTACACTCACACACTTTTTAAGACAAACATAAGAATGAACGCACGTACGAAGTTTTATTTCTTTAGCGTGACAAAAAAAAATTACTAAAAATTGTATGTCCTGTTCCAGTACTCTTTGTTTGCGAAAAAGACAT